CCACACCTCCAGCCTTACATGCGACACACAGATCAGACTGTCCATCAAACAGCAGTAAATACAGACAATTGTTAACAGAATTAAATCTCTCACCTGACTGTGAAACTGCCAGACTGTCCTGATCAGATCCTGAGAGATAGAAAAATGACGACATTTTTTTTCATGTTTCATAGAGCGCAAAACAACATGCATTGATATTAAGCAGTGGTGGACAGTAATACCTGTGCTTCATTGGAGTACATTTACTTTTAATAGCTTTTACTTTTATTTCACTACAATCCAAAACTAAATACTGTCCTTTTTACTCCACTATATCTCCTGAATGAAGCTGAGTTAAAAATTATTTTCAAGAGAAGGAACGAGTGTGAGTCTCCAGTAAAAGATTCACTGATTCAATCGATCCGTTCAGTGTGCGTATACTAAAAAGAATCACTGATTCAGATGAGTCCTTCAGAGTGAGTCTTCAGTAAAAGATTCACTGATTCAAGCGATCCGTTCAGAGTGAGTCTCCAGTAAAAGATTCACTGATTCAGATGATCCGTTCAGAGTGAGTCTCCAGTAAAATATTCACTGATTCAGATGAGTCCTTCAGAGTGAGTCTCCAGTAAATGATTCACTGATTCAGATGATCCGATCAGAGTGAGTATCCAGTAAATGATTTACTGATTCAGATGATCTGATCAGAGTGAGTCTCCAGTAAAAGATTCACTGATTCAGATAAGTGCTTCAGAGTGAGTCTCTAGTAAAAGATTCACTGATTCAGATGATCCGATCAGAGTGAGTCTCCAGTAAAAGATTCACTGATTCAGATAATCAGATCTGAGTGAGTCTCCAGTAAAAGATTTACTGATTCAGATGAGTGCTTCAGAGTGAGTCTCCAGTAAAAGATTCACTGATTCAGATGAGTCCTTTAGAGTGAGTCTCCAGTAAAAGATTCACTGATTCAGATGAGTCCTTCAGAGTGAGTCTCCAGTAAAAGATTCACTGATTCAGATGAGTCCTTCAGAGTGAGTCTCCAGTAAAAGATTCACTGATTCAGATGAGTCCTTCAGAGTGAGTCTCCAGTAAAAGATTCACTCATTTAGATGATCTGATCAGAGTGAGTCTCCAGTAAAAGATTCACTGATTCAGAAGATCTGATCGGAGTGAGTCTCCAGTAAAAGATTTACTGATTCAGATGAGTGCTTCAGAGTGAGTCTCCAGTAAAAGATTCACTGATTCAGATGAGTCCTTCAGAGTAAGTCTCCAGTAAAAGATTCACTCATTTAGATCATCTGATCAGAGTGAGTCTCCAGTAAAAGATTCACTGATTCAGATGATCTGATCAGAGTGAGTCTCCAGTAAAAGATTCACTGATTCAGATGATCTGATCAGAGTGAGTCTCCAGTAAAAGATTCACTGATTCAGATGATCTGATCAGAGTGAGTCTCCAGTAAAAGATTCACTGATTCAGATGAGTGCTTCAGAGTGAGTCCCCAGTAAAAGATTCACTGATTCAGATGATCTGATCAGAGAGAGTTAAAGGTTTACTGACTTAAACAAGCCCTTCAGAGTGAATCCCCAGTAAAAGATTTACTAATTCTAAGGATATGTTCAGAGTGAGTTTTTTGTAAATGATTTACTGCTTAAAGCGACTCATTCAGAGTGAGTCTTCAGTAAAAGATTCACTGATTTAAACAAATCCTTCAGAGTGATGCTGCTTCCCAATTCACATACTATCCATCCCAAATGGTATTTGAAAATAGAATAAGTATTTGATTAGTAAATGATTCACTGATCTTACACAATGATCTGAATGGTGTTCAGTGTTTGAATGGGGTTTCCCACATTTTCCCTTAAATTATTATTATGATTTATCAGTGTTCTGGTGAAGATTTGGTGATTCAATCTTCTTGCAAAATAAACATTCATCAGGAAGTACTTTTACTGAAGTCAATTTAAAACTTTGCCTCAAATATTATTAAATAATATTGTTCTACTGGATTTATTTTTATTAGAGTATCTGTACATTTACTAAAGTGCCTAATTTGTGTACTTTGTCCAGCACTGATATTAAACGATGCCAAAAAAGATGATGAATAGAGGATCAGAACCGTGATCTTTAGAGCAGCGTGGAATATCACAGTCCTCTTTCATGATCCCGGATGGCGTCTTTACGAAACACCACGGTCTTCGGCTGAAGTCTGGGTTTCTGAAAGAGAAGTAAACATATTTACACACGCATGAATACTGAAATGAGTACTCCTGTTGTGTTTGTTCAAAATGCCATATGCTGAGGTTGCATTGAGTTCTGCAGCAGTTTTAGATTTGTTGCACAGGTTTGGGCAAGTAAGTGAGGTGTGCTGAAAAATATTTCTGCAGGAGATCTTCATGTCTACACTTGAGAATAAGAGGGAATAAAAAACCTACTCCATATAAAAAAGGTGTATGTGTTTGTGTCATATATTAATCTATTACAGTGGTTCTCAACTGGTTTGGCCATGGAACCCACATTTTGACATGGTCATCAAGCCGTGACCCAAATTTTTAGGAACTATAATATAATTTTAAGAATTATAATTCGATTTTTATTTGTTAACATACACAAGTAGTGACAGATACATCATAAGAAAATCACCAAGACTTCCAAATAAACAATGTTTTATTGCTGTCATTAAACAAAATGCATTAAATTATAGTTAAGATTAACTAAACTGAACTGTTAATAAAGCATTAACACTGATCCCGTTGATCAGAACAAACCAGCAAATTAAAGTAAAATTATTAAAATAATCATAACCATTTTTATAATAATCACCAGTTATTTGCTCTTCTGCTTCTGTGTGGGCTGTCTTGGCCATTGCTACACGGTGCAATAGTATCTGGATGCAGCCTTTATGATGCAAGCTGAGATTGCATCCTTCAGAGATGCAGTGTCAGACACAATGCACTCAGTGGAGCTTGTGACGTCACTGTGAGGGGTTGGGTTAGGCGAGCACATTAAAAAGCATTGGATGCAGCTCAGATTGCATCTGCACCGAGTCTGCAGCCAGAGCCCTCTCACACGGTGAGCACAGTAAGATTCGCGGAGTGCCTGTACATGTTTTGAACATGAAGATGTTCGCCACTTTTGTGATGCCCTCAGCTATCGGAGTCGTCTTTGAAAATAGTCCACAGGTTTGTCCTTGCATCTGGGATGTTTGTTTTTATTTGTCATTTTAATTTCGAAGGTTTCATGCTCTTGTGAGAGCACCTCACTACATATGACACGTACTTTACATATTCTTGTGCTTCGACATATTTGTTGCTATAATTAAATTAAATTTCACATGTCAAACAGTAGGGTTGTCATGCGCGCATTTCAAAATAAAAGTCTGATATAAGCAAAATAAGTTAACGGGCACATAGTTTACCCCTTTTTTATGATTTATTATTAATATTGTATTTAATATTTTATATTGTATATGGTTCTTCTGGGTGTGCCAGTTTAGGTTCAGTTCAACACACAGTTCAGATGTTTTTATTATAATGGGCTCTACTTTGACGGTCCATGCGCAGAGCGCAAAACGCAGGGCGCAAACGCTTTCAGGGCGTGTCAGAACGCATTTTTGATAATTTAAGGACGGGAAAATTTGCTTTGTGCTGTGGCGCATGGTCTAAAAGGGTTGAGTTTATTTTCTTAATGAGTTATAGGTGTGTTTTGAGAATAAACCAATTAGAGCCTCATCTCCCATTCCCTTTAAGAGTCAGCTGCGTCGCACCATAAGCGCATTTCGACGTAAAGTAAGTTCACTTTCGCTTTTGCTCTCGTAGATAGGGAAACCTTTACGCACAGACATCAATTAGCTTATAAAATTACATTTACAATTACATTAAGTCATTTAGCAGATGCTTTTATCCAAAGCGACTTACAAATGAGGACAAGGAAGCAATTTACACAACTAAGAGCAACAATGAATAAGTGCTATAGGCAAGTTTCAGGTCTGTAAAGTCTAAGAAGGGAAGTGTTAGTAGTATTAGTATTTTTTTTTTTTTTTTTTTTTGGGTACAGTTAGTGTGATATTCAGAGAGGCAAATAATTAATTTCGTTTGTTAAGCGCAAAGATTTGTTTCAAAACTATTTCTATATTCAGTTCTAATTTCTAGCCAATGAATAAATGAACTATAATAACCAAGTGTGGTCAAAATACTGAGTTATTTCCGAAATACACCTGCCATGACCCATATGGATAGGTGGACAAATCTAAGCTTGTTTTTAATAAAACAAATATAAATATGGATATAATAAATAATACTGCTAATAATAATAACATTATACAAAAGCAAATTGAATGAACAGAAAAAGCCTCCTGAGATGAAGAAAGTAAGCCAGTGGTTTTTAAATCTTCATGTAGGCTAGAAATTAATATGTTTTGTAATATTTTAATCATTTATATTTATATCCTGTATATATCCTTATTATATATATATATATATATATATATATATATATATATATATATATATATATATATCCTTAAGATATTATATATTTTTCATATGTAAAGATATTTGTGTATTGCTCTGCATCTTGTGTGTAGTGTGTAAGCCAGGCGCACTTTGCGCCAGACAATAGACCGACTTTGTTCTGGTCTAAAGATCAGACTATTTACAGTTTCTCAAAATAGCAACGCACCATAACACGCCTGCTTTTTTAGACCAGAATGCCTATGGGCGGACATTTGAGCGCAAATGCATTTGCTATTTAAACAGTGTGGCGCAACACCTCAAAATGACCCTTGCGCCGAGCTAAAAGTAGCAAAAAGCTATTGCGCCTTGCCTTGCGCCACATTGCGCCGGGTGTATGATAGGGCCCAATGTGTTAAAAAGTGTCATGTTGGGGGCGTGTACACAGTTTGCTGTTTTAGGGGCGTGTTGCTTCACATTTTCGGCTTTCCGCCCAACATAACAGGGGGGCGGAGCCAAGAGCTCCCACGCTCTGAAGAACCAAAATATTAATATTAAATCATAAAAAAGGGGTAAACTATGTGCCCTTTAAAGGAACGTGCCCAACACTGGTTGGAAGAAAGATCAAGATCCCATGATGCAACTCAAAAGCAGAAATAAATGGGGAAGAATTAAATCATGAATCACAAAATACAGGAAACTGCTAATGTACGGATGTTTTCCCTGTAAAGCTCTTGCCTGCAGTGTTTGTGTCCACCCACGATCAGACTCTTGAGATAAACTCCGATTTCAAGCGCTTTCTCTGAATCCCATTCCAGACATTCCCTCCCACTGGCTGATTTAGACACGGGTCCCACGTAGAGCTGACCAATCCCATCGAAGCAGGAGACCGATGTGTCTAACACAGAACACACTCGTCAGAAATCAACATGAGTGTGTGCAGACATGATGACACAGACACAAACATTCACCTGTTTCACATCTGGAGCCACTGAAGCCTTCAGCACAGAGACAGAGAAGATGCCGACCAGACAGAGAAGATAGAGACGATCCTCCATTCAGACACAAGACACCTGCGCAAGCCAGAAAACACAATCAACACTGCGCTTTAAAGGGGACCTATTATGCCACTGTTTACAATTTGTAAAATAAGTCATTGATGTCTCTAGAGTGTGTGTGTGTGTGTGAAGTTTCATCTTAAAATAGTACACAGATATTGTTCTCTAACTCTCTGAAATTGAGCCAGTTTGATCCAAACTGTCGCGTTTTGGTGACTGTCGCTTTAAATTCAAATGAGAAGAAGAGGGCGGAGCTACAAATGCGTATGTGTCAGCTTAGTGGCAGATTCAAAACAGGACTAATGTTATCTGTGTAAAAAAAAGAAAATGTGTGTGTGAGTGTGTGCTTCATGCATCGGTCAGTCTACGTCACTCCTGTCGCTGTTTATTAGTGCTTCATCTGAAACTCCACATCTATAATCCTCTTAGTCTATGCTGTCATTATCTTCAGCCAGCCTGATCTCACGAGAAAACGTAAGTATTTTACATTTTGCCAGTTTAGTGGCTAATTCGTACGAGTTCAGTCGTACGAAATTGTACGATTTTAAAAAGGAGGCGTGGCACCTAACCCCACCCCGAAACCCAACCGTCAGTGGGGGATGAGCAAATCGTGCTAAAATGTATGAATTAGATCGTACGAATTCGTACGAATTAGCCACTAAATTAAAAAGTTACGAATTGCCATGAGATTGTGTTGCTTTATCCGCTCAAACACTTTAATGGCTAATGGACAGATGACTACTTCTCACTCAGGGCTGCTGTTTCTGCTAATGAGGGAGAGATGCTCAATACTTATACAATAATATATGCAAACAATGGGTGACACGGTGGCTCAGTGGGTAGCACTGTGGCCTCACAGCAAGAAGGTCGCTGGTTTGGAGTCCGGTTGTGCGTGTTGGCATTTCTATGTGGAGTTTGCATGTTCTCTCTTTGTTGACGTGGGTTTCTTCCGGGTGCTCCGGTTTCCCCCACAGGAAACGCTATAGGGGACTTGATGAACTAAAGTGGCTGTAGTGTACGAGTGTGTGTGTGAATGAGAGTGTATATGATGTTTCCCAGTACTAGGTTGCAGCTGGAAGGGCATCCGCTGCATAAAATGTATGACGAAATAGTTGGTGGTTCATTCCACTGTGGCAACCCCTGATAAATAAATATATGCCCACAGTAGAAATGTGTATAATAGTTGTTGGTTCATTCCACTGTGGCAACCCCTGATAAATAAATATATGCCCACAGTAAAAATTTGTATAATAGTTGTTGGTTCATTCCACTGTGGCAACCCCTGATAAATAAATATATGCCCACAGTAAAAATGTGTATAATAGTTGTTGGTTCATTCCACTGTGGCAACCCCTGATAAATAAATAAATAAATAAACACAATCTTGTGTTGTTGTTTATCTGTCATCCAAAAACAAAGAAACAAAATCCTATAAAAGCTTAACATTTAATGGTATTATAGCACAATCTAAATAGGCAGGCTGTACTTTTAGTATTTAAAAAATTGCATTTTTTGACTATAAAATGTTTCTACATCAATATTTATTTTCAGTGTACTTATAATAAACTCGTGGTGTACGAAACTTGCAGCTGGTCAAATACATATACTGAAAATGATTCAAATAAACAAAATGAACTTATTGAAGTGTAACATCTAGAAAGCACTGTAGGAAGCAGGATAATCACTGGTTCGAGTCCCAGCTGGGTCAGTTGGCGTCTCTGTGTGGAGTTTGCATGTTCTTCCTGTGTTGGTGTGGGTTTCCCCTGTGTGCTCCGGTTTCCCCCACATTCCAAACACATGCCCTTATGGGATAATTGATGAACTAAATTGGTTGTAGTGTATGAGTGTATATGAATGTGAGAGTGTATAGGTGTATCCCAGTACTGGGTTGCAGCTGTATAAAGCATATGCTGGAATACAGAAATGAAAGATAGTAGAAAAAAACAGTTTCTGTACCTGGTTTATCATGGGATTCACTGGGAAAGGGTCTGCGCTGAGCTTTCTGGAAATCACAACAAGTTAATTCTGTAATTCTGTTAATTCAGTTTAAAGGGACCCTATTATGCCCCTTTTTACAAGATGTATAAAAAGTCTCTAGAGTGTGTAGTGAAGTTTCAGCTCAAAATACCACACAAATAATGTTTTGTAACTCTCTGAAATTGACCCTTTCAGGCTTTGATCCTACTTGTGCTGTTTTGGTGACTGTCCCTTTAAATTCAAATGAGATTAAGCTCTTTTTTAAAAGAGGGCGGAGCTACAAACGCCTATGTGTCAGATTTAAAAACAAGACTAATGTAATATGCTAATGAGGGAGAGCTGGTCACTAGTGGGCGGGGCTTTCCCTCTCTGATGACACATTAATCAAAGTGTTTCTGCAGACAGTTTTAATCAAGTCTGATTATTATCAAATACAATTAATACATTTTGACCATTAGAACCTGAGTGTACAAACACACTGCTGACAAATAGCTGTGCTTAAACCCCTTATAAAAGTGATTTAGCATAATAGATCTCCTTTAATAATGTAAATAAGTGCGTATAGCACACTTACACACACCGTGAGAGCTGTTAAAGCCAGAATCAAACTCCACACGAGAATTCCAGACATCTCGCCTCTACCTGAAATACAAGCAGATGATTAAAACCAGGCTAAGGGCAAGATTTTTTTTGGGATTTGGATTGAAGTCCAGAACAGCAACTTTAAATATGACCTCAATGTAAATTCAGTCATTTATATTAAAATTATATTGAGTAAATTCTTTACAGAATTGTTATCTGGAACTATCAAACATTAATAAAACAAATGGTAGTAATTTAGTTTAAGTAACAATTCACACTATTACTATTGCCTGCATATTATTAAGATATAAACTGTTTATTAGCACTTGAGTGAGAATGATCTTATTCTACATGCCTAATTCTACTCAACACCTAAACCCAACGACTACTTTACTAACTCTTAATAAGCTGCTAATCAGTAGTTTAATTAGCTAAAAGTCTTAGTCAATGGTTTATTAATAGCGTGAACTAAACATTTAAATAAAAGTGTGACCAAATGAATTCAATTAAATTAATCCTGCAGAGGGATTCAGTAAATGTTCCATATTTTTTTAATTAATGTATAATAATGTGGCATGTATAATAATTTATAAAAGGGCTTTATGTGAAGAATGCTGCGACAGTGCAGACATCACTGTCACAGTTTGATCTCATATCATAACATATCATATCATATCATATCATATCATATCATATCATATCATATCATATCATATCATATCATATAACAAATATTAATATATCTGCTATATCATCTAATCTCATATAGATCATGTCATTGATCATTGATCATTTCATAACATATTTCATTGATTATATAATCATATCATCGAAACTTTCCTATCATTGATCATATCATTGATTATATCATCATATCATTGATAATATCATTTCATATATTATATCATTGGTCATATCATATATCAGGATATATTATAAATCTTATCATCAAATCATACACAATATCATCATATCATATCATATGTCATGGATAATATCATATATTATATTGTTGATCATATCATATATCAGGATATATTATGAATCTTATCATCAATTCATACATAATATCATCATATTCTATCCTATCATATATCACTAAATTATTATATCATGTCATTGATCATATCATCAAATCATACATAATATCCTATATCACTAAATTATATCATATATTATGAAATCCTCATATCATATATAACTGATCATATCAATATTTCATATATTATGGTTCATATCATCAAATCATACATAATATCATCATATCCTATCATATCATATATTATAAATCACATCTTTTCATCATCAAATCATACGTAATATCATCATATGCTATCATATCATACATCACCAAATCATCATATCATATATCAATGATCATATCATATATAATGGATCATATAATCAAATCATACATAACATCATCATATTCGATCATATCATATATTATGGATCATATCATCTTATGAAATCATACATAATATTACATCCCATCATATCATATATAATTAAAATCATCATATAATATATCATACATTATGTATCATATCATCAAATCATACATATCATCATATTCTATCATATATGATCATATTGTCATATTATTGATCCTATATCATTTACTATGGATCATATCATCAAATCATGCATAATATCATCATATCATATCTTTTCACATCATGTATCATCTCATATCCTATCATATCATTTCCTATCTTATACTATCCTATCATATCATATATCATATCATATCATATAACATATGCATTAACATTGTTTGTAGCACAGATACTCTTGAATGTCATGCAGCCTCCATGAACTCTCTCAGTAATATTATCAGTCGAGTCAGTATTAAAGTAACTCCACTCACCTGTGTGAGAGATCAGATCAGCAGTGGTTTATCCAGCTGCTGGTTTGAAAACACTCCTTTATAGAGGCTGCTCTCTTCTGATTGGCTGCTGGCACAGGGGGAGGAGGAGCTTGTCTGCAAACAAACTGAAACCACTTCACTGAATCACTAGAATGACTCAAATAACCCAGCATTCTCCATAATATTAGAAATCTCCTGACACTCTGCTTCTGTCCAACACTATTTGAAATAATTCTTAACCTAAAAACACTTGTTTAAAGGTATAGTTCACCCCAAAATGCAAACTCTGTCATCATTAACTTCCCATAAAAATGTTCCAAACCAGTTTGAGAATGTTATTCTTTCACTCTGGCGATCACAAATGAAGATATTTTGAAGAATGTTGGAAACCTGTAATCATTGACTTCTGTATTTGTTTTTCCTACTATGGAAGTCAATGATTTTTGCAACATTTTTCAAAACATCTTTTTTTTTGCTACAATGATAATCTAAGAAACAAAGGTTGAAGGAGTCTGATTAATTATTGAACATTCGGTAACACTTTGTAATAACTATCTGTTATACCTAGTTTATAGATCATTAATAAACTGTTAATTAATGAGTTACAAATGACTTGTTAAATAAAACTTAATAGTTTGTTACTTATTTACAACTGTGCCTTAAAGATAGCCAATAGATAACTTACAAGCTGTTAGTTAACAAGTCATAAATGACTTGTTAACTGTATTTTAATTATTTATATGTATAACTAATACATTAGTGATAGATCATGAACAAGCTGTTGTACAAGTATCAGTAAATAGTTTATATATGTTATTGGGACGTTATTCTAAAGTTGCAACTATTCATTATTTATTAACTCTTAGTAAATGAGGAATAGTTGCAACTTTAGAATAAAGTCCCAATAACACACATAAGCTAATAGCTAACACTTAACTAGTAAATTAACTCACACTTTTTTTTAACTGTGACATTTGTTTGTCAGTGATCAAGCACCCGATTCACAAAAGCCGTCTCAAGAAATGTCAAGACACGTCCTAAATTTCAGAGAAGAGCATTTCTTTGAAAAAACATATTAAGATGATCTCAGATTTGTTCGTAAGATAACGAATAAGCCAAGTGTCGTTGTTTAAATAAGTCAAATATTTCACTAGCTTCTTGGGTTTTGTCTTAGGAAAAATCATTGGTAAAAGATAAGAACATACTTAATGTATGGTAATGTTTTCTGACCTCACTCTGAGCCAGCTTCTCAAACGCACTGCTGCAGTGGATGTACTTGATCTCAATGTCCAGCACATCATCCTTCCCTGAGACACACACACACACACACAGGAAATAATACATTCACATACACTCATACTGCATTAAATATAACATAATAATAATACCATCACCATACTGTGAATAAAGCACAAAACGTTAACCCTTTACTGGGCAAAAAACATATATTTACATTTAGTCATTTAGCAGATGCTTTTATCCGAAATGACTTACAAATGAGGACGAGGAAGCAATTTACACAACTATAGGAGCAACAATGAATAAGAGCTGTAGGCGAGTTTCAGGTGTGTAAAGTGTAAGAAGAAAAACATTAGTAATTTATTTTTTTGTAGTACAGTTAGCGGTGGAGCCAGAGAGGCAATTGCAGATTAGGAAGTGAAGTGGAGACTAAATAGTTGAGTTTTTAGTAGTTTCTTGAAGACAGCGAGTGACTCTGCCGTTCTGATGCAGTTAGGGAGTTCATTCCACCAACTGGGCAGATTGAACGCGAGAGTTCGGGAAAGTGATTTCTTCCCTCTTTGGGATGGAACCACGAGGCGACGTTCATTCACAGAAGGCAAGTTTCTGAAGGGCACATACATCTGCAGAAGTGAGAGCAGATAAGAAGGAGCAAAGCCAGAAGTCGCTTTGTAGGCAAACATCAGAGCTTTGAATTTGATGCGAGCAGCAACTGGCAGCCAGTGCAAACGGATGAGCAGCGGAGTGACATGTGCTCTTTCAGGTTCATTAAAGACCACTCGTGCTGCTGCGTTCTGGAGCAGCTGAAGAGTTATATGTAAATATATGATTGGTAACTTCACTGACTTGGTCAATAATTATCATTAAACTGCTTAAAGGGGATCTGTTACGCCCATTTTCACAAGATGTATAATAAGTGTGTGTGTGTGTGTGAAGTTTCAGCACAAAATACCCCACAAATAATGTTTTGCAACTCTCTGAAATGGACCCGTTTAGGCTTTGATCCTAATTGTGTTGTTTTGGATACTGTCGCTTTAAACTCAAATGAAATTGTGCTCTTTTCAAAAGAGGGCGGAGCTTCACATGCCTGTGTGTCAGCATAGTGGTTCAAAAACAGGACTAATGTCTTATGCTTATGAGGGAGGGACTGTCACTGGTGGGAGGGGCTTTCCCCCCTCTAATGACATCATACAAAAGGAGAATGTCAATCAAAGTGTTTCTGCAGACTGTTCTGACTGCGGCCTGATTATAAACAAATAGAATTAATTCAATTTGACTATTAGAAGTTGGCTATATTCACAACTCCTTGCGTTCAAACCCCTTATAAAAATGATTTTGGCGTAATAGGTGCCCTTTAAGTAAAAATAAGACGACAGAATGACATCATTTTCTTCTTAAAAATGTTTTGTGAATTCAGCCCCAGAATTTGGGAAGTGTTGATCAGAGTCTGGATCATCTGCAGGTCATTATAATCCATGGTTCCAGGCAGTAAGAGGGCATTTCCTCCAAAACAATGACACACACACATACACTGGAAAAACAAGTGGGCAAAGAGTCAAATCAGTTTCACACTTACACATTCTGAAACTTCCAGCTGTGCACCAACAATCAACAAGCCAAATATGTCCTCCATGGCTTCCTTTCATATAGGTTGAAGAATAAATGTAAATTGAATTCGTCATATACAGAGTCAAATACAGTATGATATGCAGTGAAATGCTTACACAACCACTTGTGACCTTAAAATAATAACAGTCATTAATGTTCCTTCGCGTTAGTCCCTTGTCAGGGGTCGCCACAGACGAATGAACCGCCAACTATTCTGGCATATGTTTTACTTAGCGGATGCCCTTCCAGCTGCAACCTAGTACTGGGAAACACAATACACACTCATACACAACAGCCAATTTAGTTCATTAATATTTGGACTGTGGGGGAAACCCACGCCAACACGGGGAGAGCATGAGAACTCCACACAGAAACACCAACTGACCCAGCCGGGACTCGAACCAGCGACCTTCTTGCTGTGAGGCCACAGTGCTAACCACTGAGCTAATCAATGATTCCTCATCATAATTGATGATGAGTAATAACTCTAGGTGTTGGTCCATCGAACATCGGTTTCAGGATGGTCCGGATATGATTCAGTGTGTTTGAGCTTTAGACTCGTTGATTTTAGAGGCGTTTTCACATCCTCACAGACTCAGAGCTGGTTTTAGGTCAGTGATGAAGGCTTAAGGGTTAAATATAAAGCTCCACACCCAAGTGACTGAAAGCACCTTTAATCATCTCTGACAGACACTAAAATAACAAGACGCACTTTGGCAAGACTAAAAATATCGGTTTTGTTTTGTTTTAAACAGTAATTAAAAAAAAAAATCGTATATATATATATATATATATATATATATATATATATATATATATATATATATATATATAAATAAATAAAGTCACCGGCCACTTTATTAGGTACACCTTACTAGTACCGGGTTGGACCCCCTTTTGCCTTCAGAACTGCTTTAATCCTTCGTAGCATAGATTCAACAAGCTATTGGAAATATTCCTCAGAGATTTTGCTCCATATTGACATGATAGCATCACGCAGTTGCTGCAGATTTGTCGGCTGCACATCCATGATGCCAATCTCCCGTTCCACCACATCCCAAAGCTGCTCTATTGGTCAAAGTCACTTAAATCCCCTTTCTTCCACATTCTGATGCTCACTTTGAACTGCAGCAGATCGTCTTGACCATGTTTACAAGCCTAAATGCATTGAGTTGCTGCCATGTGATTGGCTGATTAAAAAATTGAGTTAACAAGCAGTTGGACAGGTGTACCTAATAAAGTGACCGGTGAGTGTATATTGTTAATATTGATAGAGAAATAGATTTGTACGATTACAGTAGGTATTGTAAAAAAAACAAACAAAAACAAAACACATAAATAACTGTATCTTTGCTTGTTTTTTGAAAAGTTTATTTTCAAACAAGTAAAATTTTTAACAAAAAATTTAAAACAATTAAAACTATAGTTAAAATAAATATTATAAAAATACAATATTTTCAAAAAAAAAAGCCAAAATAATAAAATTTATTTAAAAAAATAAAAATTAAGAAATTAAATAAAACAAATTTTCAAATTGTGCAATTTTGTCTTTTATGCCAGGAGAAAAAAAATTAATAAATAATTTAAAACGAATAATGAAGTAGGGCGAAGCAGTGGTGCAGTAGGTAGTGCTGTCGCCTTACAGTAAGAAGGTCGCTGGTTCAAGCCTCGGCTCAGTTGGCGTTTCTGTGTGGAGTTTGCATGTTCTCCCTGCCTTCGCGTGGGTGTCCTCCGGGTGCTCCGGTTTCCCCCACAGTCCAAAGACATGCGGTACAGGTGAATTGGGTTGGCTAAATTGTCCGTAGTGTATGAGTGTGAATGTGTGTGTGGATGTTTCCCAGAGATGGGTTGCGGCTGGAAGGGCATCCGCTGCGTAAAAACTTGCTGGATAAGTTGGCGGTTCATTCCACTGTGGCGACCCCGGATTAATAAAGGGACTAAGCCGACAAGAAAATGAATGAATGAAGTAAATATTTGTTAAATGCAATAGTTTTAAATAAATCTAAAAGCACTGCACATCAAATTGTAATGATAATTAAAAAAACTAAATGAGAATTTGACATTTCATTAACTGCATGTGTGTTTCTGTGTTTGAAATAGCCGTTGTCTAATAACACTTCATTAAATGAAATGAAAATAAATCAGCAAATGTAACTGATGAACACACATCAGCGCAGGATTTAGGAGGAAATTCTTTATTTACCGCAGTTAAATCCCCCATAGACATATACATAAATACATTTATACAAAAACAGGAGCAGAAGTGAGCAGTGGCGTTACAGTGGAGTAGTGTGTAGTGAAGCAGGAGAGACAGAGAGAGTGTGTGTGCGTGTCTAAGCTGAAGTGTCGAACAGCCGGTCGATCATGTCCTCCACCTGCTCCGGGGAGTAGCGGTGATATTTCTCTGGATTCTTGGTGAATGAAATGTTCGCACATCTGTAAAAACAACCAGCAGAACATAAACCACAGTGCGTGTTAGTGTTTGTGTGTGTCTGTGTGAAAGAGAGATTGAGTGCGTGTGTTTTTGACAATGTCTGTGAGTATATGTGTGGAAATGTGTGTGAGTATATACAGTATGTATAGTATATATATATTTATACAACAGTTCTGTCTGGTTCTCAAATCTGATTGGCTGAAAGCCGTGCGATATTCTGCAATATTAGAACTTCTACAGCCTCTTTACCCTTTGTGTATTACTCCGCACACATACAGCCAGCAAAAAGCAGACACTACAGATCTAAAGTTTAAAAGATGCCTTTAACTGTTTTAACAGCTGTTTAACTGTCAGATTATGATTTGAATCCAATGCGGAGGAAAGTAGTTCCTCATACAAAAGGGTTTTTAAGACTCTCCATGTTTGATTTTGTTTTTATATACACAATTGTGTATGTGTGTGGCTGTATATCGGCACTGGTGGGGGCACTAAGGCACTCGGCCTGCGGCCACATCGCACTGCTACTCGTGTAATATTGCTCATAAAAATAAGAACATTTGTGTGTAAATTGTGTGTGTATGTGTGTGTATATGCTTGTATGAGTGTGTGTGTGTGTATGCAAGTACATGTGTGTGTGTGAATTGTGTTTATGTATGCGTTTGTGAGTGTGCTTGTATGAGTCTGTGTCTGTGTGTCTATGTATGCGCAGTTAGTGTGTGTGTGTGCTTGTGTGTGTCTCACCGCTGTAGGAAGGCTTTATAAGTGAGTGAGACGACCCTCTTCTGAGCGTGTCTGATGGTGTCGCGCTGCTCTTTATCAGGAACTGCCCAGCCCTTCTGGATCTTACACAGCTCCTCCAGACCATCATTAAAACCCTAAACACACACACACACACACACACACACACACACACACACACATACACTTTAACCCTGTCAGCTCTGAGACAACAGTCCACCTTGAAATAATAATCATCGTTTGATACGAACCATATTAAGATCATCAACATTTCACAGCAAAAAAAAAAAAAGCATAAGCTAAAGTATTTTTCAGCCACCGATAAACTTCCGGTGAAAGGTTAATGTGACTGTTTTCAACTACATCAGGTTTCTTTTACAGCATAGATGTTATAACGGAAATAAAATCGAATCAGTTAAATAGACTTAAGTGTTGATCAAATGAAAAATGAGATGAAGAGACGTCTAAAAGTGCCGTCAAGAGCAGCAGATGAGCGCGGAAACTCAGGGGTGTAGCGGACATTTTCAAAGTGGGGGGGACGGCTGTATGAAATCCTGAGGTTTTCAGTCTTATGCCGAGTTCAGACTGCATGATTTTTAAAGTAGTCGTGTCACAGATGTTTTCACACTGCATGACTATCTGGGCTAGCGTTTCATCGCTGCTTTGTTTACACTGCAAGATGGATTGGCGACAGGGACTTTCACATTGCATGACTTTACTAAAGGAAGAATCGCCGACAACTTCATCCAAACGACGTTTCACAGCCAAAAACACGTCGTATATCTTTTGTTATTGACTACATAATGAGAAAGAAGCCTTTAATGGGGTAGAACATGTACATGTTCGCTCACCTGGGTTTAAAGGGAATTAGCCATTTCTCCTCAACGTTAATAATAAACTAATTTCTTTCTGTATGAAAGGTCAAACAAACACGGTTTTGACACGAGTCCTGTCAAACCTCCACTAGTTTTTCCTCCATTTCGTGGGTCCAAATAAACCGAAAATGAGCGCTTTTAACTTCTCCCCCAGCCTCCCGCTGGCCTGCAGCAGCTATACACACACACTAGTGAACGCTGCCCTCTCATTGGCTGTAGGCAGGGCCGGCGCGTCCATAGAGGCGACCTAGGCGGCCGCCTAGGGCGGCAGTATAGAGAGGGCGGCATCCGCGACACCTCCCTTACCACCCGCATCCTCAGTTATGTCCGCGACACCTCCCTCACCACCCGCATCCTCAAATATATTCACGCATAGACGACAGAATAGAGACGGCGGCGTCAGCGACAACTCCATCAGCACCCGCGTGTCCTCAGTTATATCCGCGCATAGGGCGGCAGAATTGAGGTCCGCGACACCCGCGCGTCCTCATTTATCCGCGCATAGGGTGGCAGAATAGAGAGCGCAGTGTCCGCGACACCTCCCTCCCTCCCTCAGCACCCGCGCGTCCTCAGCTATATCCGCACATAGTGCGCTGGAAAAGAGGTCCGCGACACCTCACTTCATTTTCATAACCGGTCACTTTCGTTTTCTCATTGGGGTTGAGGGCGGCGTGATCGTCCTCTGCCTAGAGCGGCAGTTCAGCTTGCTCCGGCCCTGGCTGTAGGCAATCGCTGATGTTATTTTCAGTCAAAACCCAATTCACACTGCATGATTTGAATCGCCGACAGCTCCAGATATTCAGCATTCTCTCAGATCGCGTCTTTGATAGTTCACACTGTGTGATTGTCACTCACGTGCACGAGCAGCGATTTGCCTGTGATTTCAGGCATTTGTCGGCGATTTCTCAAAACATGTCTGTGAGCCAAAATCGGGGCTAAAATCACGCAGTCTGAACTAGGCATTAATCACCTGTTTCTGAATGGTCGGTCTCTAAAAGTGTAGGGGACATACCATACCACTGAGAAAAGCTGTAAATATGATGTATATAGTTAGAGTATGCATGAGTTTGTCTCACCTTGAACTTGTCCTTGATGATCTGTCGTTCTTTATCTTTCAGCTGCACAAACAAGAGTTCAGATTAATGATGATATTTCAACAAGACAATGCAAAACCACATTCTGTACCAATGACTGTAAAAAATATGGACGACGCGACAGCCCTTTTTCCCATTGAACGCCTTGAGGGCAAAACGCCTGCTTGACGGGCACAAACTGTCGCAAAAGACTGCTGAAATTGGAGCCTTGACATGCGCAGAAGGACTGTCTGATGGAGCCAGAGGAGGAGCCGCGAAAATGAGCAGAGTCGAGCTTCCAATCAAACGCTTTATGTAAAATCAACCACGCCCCCTGAACTTCTCAGCATGCGTTTGCTGTCATATCAACACAAATGGATGTAATAACGTTAACAAACATGAGGGTTTTATATATTCAATCGCGCCAGCTCCAGGCCGCAGCGCATAACTTACTCGCGGCGTCGCGGGCTGATTCCGGCTCGCATGCGGCAGCGCCGGCTCGCTCGGCCACTGCATCTGGCTCGATTGACTCGGGCTGGAATTGGGTAGTGAGTCCAGGCATCCGGAGTATGTCCAGCAGAGGTAACATTAGTCAGTCTGAGCTCTAAGAGATAAGTCTCCGGCAGGCGAGAATCTAGCCGGAACTGTGTTTTGCTATCTGGGTGGCTAGGCGTGTATCAGCAAACTAATAAAGCCCGAAAAAAGCCCTGAACTTAGCGAATAAACAGTGTTCCACCAGGATCATGTATGTCAGAAACTGTAGTTTACTGCTGAACTCATTTTGTCATGGTAAAATAACACAGAAATCGAATAATAACATTTCAGTCTACTTCAGTCTCCTGCCGAAGCTCAGACGCCGCGCTTTGAGAAACTGTCAATCACAGCTGTCAATCACGATGACACGCCCAGCATTAAATTACTGCTAAAAACAAACTGTTTACAAAAATGAAGATCTGCACCTATTTCAGCACAATAACCAGTGCCTTAATCGACCAGAACTATCTTTCGGGACATTTTATTGCAAGTGTAATATTTTTTTTTATTTGGGCTCAAGTCTACTTCATTAACACGGAGGAGGCGGGCTTTATGACTTGTACTGCAGCCAGCCCCCAGGGGGCGATCTAACGGCCGAGACCTTCACTCAAACGTAGGCTTGCGGCACACTTGTTCTGTACACATTACAAAGTCCTGGCTGCGGGGGATACAGGTACTTGACTGGCCTGCCTGGAGTCCCAACCTGTCTCCAATAGAGAATGCGTGGTGCATTTTGAAATCACGTACTGTTGTCCACCTTAACGCTTGTTTGCAGGAAGATTGGAACACAACTACACCTGAAACACTTTATCATTCTGTCTCTAAACGTCTTTTAAGTGTAGTGAAAAACAACGGAAACATTACAAAGTGGTAAATTATTTACTGTTGCAACTTCTTTTAAATGTGTTGCAAGAACCAAAATTGGATTACATGTTTATTTTGTAAACAATAAAAATATTGAAAACACATTCAATAATGTTTGTTTTATTGTCTGCAATGAAATACAAGTCAATCTAGCAATCACTACATTCCTTTTTTATTTGTGTTTTCCATTTGTGTTCGGTGTGAAAGTACGGTAAATGTGTGTGATTTTCCTCACTTTGGCTCCCGGCTGGAAATCTGGGATGTTCCTCTCTGCGAGATGCTCTGTGACCCTCAGCCAGCTGCAGGTCAGGGAAGGTCAAAGGTCATTCACCGATTGATCATTCAGACGGACTCTTGTGATCGGATGCTGTGTGTGTGTTTGTACCTGCGCTGGTAGTTCTGGATCTCCTGCTCGATCAGCTCTCTGTAGGAACTCTCCACCTTCTTCACAGTCACAGCCACCAGCTGAATCAACTCTGACCTGAACAACACAAACACACCACTTCATTTCCATTTTCATTCTCACATAAGTGTGAGGTTGTATGAGTATGCACATGTGTGTGTGTGTGTGGGAGAGTAAGAGAGAGCATACAGTAAGTGTGTGAGAGGGAATGCGAGTATATCTGTGTGAGTGAAATATGAGACTTGTTAAATTAGGAGATAATTTAGGAAGTGTGAATGATTATGCAGAGAGCTGCCTTCTGATTGGCTAGTGCTGAGAGGAGGGTCTGGTTTCTGATTGGTCGCTGAGATGAAGCGGTGTAAAGAATCAGAATCAGTAATGAATAAACTCACTTCTCCAGGGATTTGAGGATGTAGTTGTAGTTGTTATGAAGGAAAATGGCGCGCAGGGCTGGATCTTCATACACTTTAGCTTTATTTGACAGATTCAGCTGCAGATTACCCAGGACTTTATCTGAAAACACAACAACAACATGGTTATCTATTATCATATATTTAATTCCCAATTCACTCCGAGCTATTATAGCATTATCCACTTGTGTAACGGATTACATTAAAAGTTTTGTTCTAGTAATTGCGTTTGGATTGTCATTTTATTATAATTGTGAAATATTTCTCTTGTAGTTGTAATTAAAATACCTGACAAAAGTTTTGTGGCTTATGCAAGTTTTAGGAAGAGCAAATAATAAGTTGACTTCTGGTTGATCATTTGGTATCAGAAGTGTCTTATATGAAAGGCAAAGGCCCTTTAGATCGGTGGTTCTCAACTGGTTTGGCCATGGGACCCACATTTTTACATGGTCATCAACCCGCGGTCCAAATTTTTAGGACTATAATAAAATTTTAGTAATTATAATAAATTTGTATTTATTTATTAACATACACAAGTAGTGACAGATAAATTATAGGAAAATCACAAAGACTTACAAATAAACAATATTTTATTATTGTCATTTAACAAATGTCTCAAATTATTAAAAGTAAAAACGACAAATGTTTGGTTTCTACAAGTGCTCTTGTAAAAGCACAACACTACATATGACACAGTGAGGTTTTAAGGCTTTTTTTTGTCATCAATGTATGCAAATCCATTATTTACATATTCGTGGTCGTACTCGCGCTTTGACATATTTGTTGCTATAATTAAATGAAATTTCACATGTCAAACGGTACAGTTGTCGCTCGTGCATTTCAAAATAAAAGTCTTATTTAAGCAAAATAGGTTGAAAATTAAACATTTGGTTTTTTTTTGACCACACACTCTACGACCCACTGAAAATGTTCCCGCGACCTAGTTGAGAAACACTGCTCGAGATGATGCTTATTTGGGCACAATAAAATATGATCATGCCTTGATTTTGGCTGATTTCATTAGGACAGTGCGGTCTGACTCTGCTTAGACTAAAGTCTCATCACTGAACAGAAATAATGTCCAGTATAGAATATAAAGTCCTGCTGCAGTGGAGACAGAATGAATATTGTGTCTGACTCCATCATGAGCTTGGAGGACTGCATCCATACATCTCTGCACTGACTCAAATCACTGATTAATAAAGTCCCAGAGTTCATCAGGATTCTTTGGATTCATCTTCAACGCCTCCTCCTTCATCTTACCCCCGACATGCTAAATAATGTTCATGTCTGGTGACTGGGCTGGCCAATCTTGGAGCAGCTTGACCTTCTTTGCTTTCAGGAGCTTTGATGTGGAGGCTGAAGTATGAGCAGGAGCGCTATCCTGCTGGAGAATTGTCCCTCTCCTGTGGTTTGTAATGTAATGGGCAGCACAAGTGTCTTGATACCTCAGGCTGTTGATGTTGATCATCCACTCTGCACATCTCTTGCATGCCCACATACTGAATGTAACCCCAAACCATGATTTCTCCTTCACCAAACTTGACTGATTTCTGTGAGAATCTTCTCTCCATGCTGGTTCCAGTAGGTCTTCTGCAGTATTTGTGATGATTGGGATGCAGATCAACAGATGATTCATCAGAAAAGCCGACGAATTATCAACTAAAGGTCAAGTTATTATTTGTTGCTCTTACAACTGGGATCAACAACAAGACTTTTGTCAGGTAGTGTACTTTGTTTTATTTATTTTCATTTAAGCCTACTTCAATTTATTTAATTTAACTTAATTTTACATTTCCAAAAGCTTTTAAAAAGCTACAAATATCCTTTTGTATATAGCTTTATTTTCATTTATAATTTGGTTTGAGTAATTTTAGCATTTACTCTTATTTTAAATAGTTTCCACAGTATTTTTATTATTTTCATATTTTAATTTTATTTATAAATGAAAGCTGATATATTTTAATCTTTATTTTTGTTTAGTGTTGTTGTTGTTGATAAAAACAAACTCAAAAACAACAATGAATGCAATAACTAATGCTAATTATAAATATATTTCCGTGAGATGTTTTACATTTCTAATCAGTGCACAATTATGAAACCATTTTTACAGAAACTTAAAGGTGCAGTATGTAAGTTTGACACCCAGTTGAACTATGTGGAAACCTATTCATTGTACATATCGCTGTCAATTTCTGTATTTTGCACTGTCGTTGTATTTTGCACTGTCTGTATTTTGCACTGTAATTGTATTTGCACTGTCTGTATTTTGCACTGTAATTGTATTTGCACTGCCGTTGTATTTTGCACTGCCGTTGTATTTTGCACTGTCGTTGTATTTTGCACTGTCGTTGTATTTTGCACTGTCTTTATTTTGCACTGCCGTTGTATTTTGCACTGCCGTTGTATTTTGCACTGTCTGTATTTTGCACTGTCTGTATTTTGCACTGTAATTGTATTTTGCACTGCCGTTGTATTTTGCACTGTCTCTATTTTGCACTGTAATTGTATTTTGCACTGCCGTTGTATTTTGCACTGTCTGTATTTTGCACTGCCGTTGTATTTTGCACTGTCTCTATTTTGCACAGTAATTGTATTTTGCACTGCCGTTGTATTTTGCACTGTCTGTATTTTGCACTGTCGTTGTATGTTGCACTGTCGTTGTATTTTGCACTGTCGTTGTATTTTGCACTGCCGTTGTATTTTGCACTGTCTGTATTTTGCACTGTAATTGTATTTGCACTGTCGTTGTATTTTTCACTGTCTGTATTTTGTACTGTCTGGAGCCAGCACCTAAGCTTTTCATTCATCATAGCAAACGTGCTGCTGATGATGTTAAAATAAAAGTGATTTGATTTTGATTTGAACATGTTATTGTATTATTGAATTAAAACAAAAGCAAGTGCAGGTTGCCAGATTGAGGACACAAACAGCCGTGTGCCTGACTATCGAGCTTAAAAGCTAATTTAAGCAGTGTTCTAAATAAGAGCAACGGCACGTGACAGAAGGAACATTCTCCATATTGAAATGAGTTTTTGTTCTAACCAACACCTGAAATTGATATTTTAAAAATGGCTTCTATTTATCACAGCTGAACAACAGAAAACCGATCAGCTCAGGTACACCTCATGCACTTTATTCAGTGTTAAATGCTAATAAGGTGAGTTTGAATGCCATTTTACATCACATTTTTTGCCATCCTACTGAGAGCAGCAGCAGAGTTCACCTCAGATCTGGGAAATAAAATTAAGCATCTGAGATTGAACTTCAGAACTGTGACTCCAAACCAACACATACCAGTGATTCGGCATCTACATTTAATAATGTTAAAGAGGTTTAATATGTATTAACTACATTATAAACCTCATAATTGCATTAGAGTGCAGTGAGTGCACTATTCTGTGCTGCTGAATGGCTGTATTTACATTTCTGACGTGTTTCGTCTGGTGCAAACAGGCAAAATGCTGATCACTGCGCATCACATCACTGTAATGGAAATTCATTTATATTAATTTCCCTTGTCCTTCATCCTATGCTTTACCATGATAGACTGTTTGATATACGGTGTGTGAAAGAGGCATGGGTCAAAGCGGAGAGACAGCTAACGTAAACGTGGTATGGCCTGATTAGAAGTGATCTCCTAGGCAGTACAAGGAAGAAACCAGATATAAGAGAGAGCACACTCTGTTTTCAGTGTTTCACTCTGCAGAATCTGTCGTTGCTGTATGATTGTGAACTTCTTTATATAAAGAATGAAACTTTGAAAAGACACCCTGGGTAAGACTTTGTCTTCTTTACCACAGAGAAAGCCTCATTAAAGAAAAATTGCCACTACATCACGTAGCATGTTGTTAGGACACGGGTTTACAATGTAACCTGCTTACCTAATGTTTACGCTCATAATATTGATATTATTTGCTAATTAATAACCTCATGTGGAACTCTGAATCTGTGTCTCATTCCTAAGTCTGCTACTTACCACCGGAGGGCGCATTTCTGTCACGTAGAGAGCCTTTATGACTGAAAGAATGAAATTCGCTGTTTTCCACAAAGGCAACAGGGGGTGCTGAAATATAATTGGCTAAACTAGCATTGGGCGGGTTAAATGAGCAAAACAAAGACAGACGTTCTAGCACGTAAAACACATTTCAAAGCAGAATATCTGACTTCAGCATTGTTTTTCAGATAACGAATGTTCACTGAGCATGTTTCTGAAATATCCACAAACATATTATAGTGTTTTTATGCTTTAAAAGAGTTAAAAACTGACATACAGCACCTTTAATTAATACAAAAACTTAATAAACTAATACAAAAGAGCTTCATGACTATAAGACAGGGTTTGTCCACAATCGGTCCTCCTGGAGAGTTTAGCTCCAACCCCAATCAAACACACCTAAACAAGCTAATCAAGCTCTTACTAGGTGTACTAGAAACTTCCAGGCAGGTGTGTTAAAGCAAGTTGGAGCTAAAGTCAGCAGGACACCGGCACACCATGTCCGACTTTTGACATCCCTGCTATAAAATGTACAGTAAATTTCAGCACTCAAAACAAAACATGCATGAATTAAAAATAAAAATACGCAGCATAAATTACTTAATTCTAAACATCCGAGAGATCAGACAGCACAAAATGATCATTAAAAGCTAAAATAACACCGTTATTAACATTATAAGTGATCCTTAGGAAAAGAAACTGTAAACAAATACACAATAGAAAGATGTGAGTGTTGTTTGTGTGAGTATCTTACAGATGTATGTGCTCAACAGTTTGCGGCTGAACTCAGAGCTGTAGCTGCTGGCTGAAGAGCTGCTCTCTGTAAATCACAACACAGACATTTCAGCTGCTTTTCTCTGATCAACACACAGTAAATCCTCACTTCATTCTGCCTGACGCAGACTATTTATACAGCACTGAATCTAAATAACTCATAACCTAAATACTTGCATTGAATTGTATTTTTTTTCCTCAATAATATACATTAACTTACCACAAAAAAAAAAAATCGAAATAAACATATACTCATTTTCTGAGAAGAGAAACTGGCCTCAGATCAGCTCAACTGGCTTTGCCTCGGATTAAATTCCTATATAATATATGAGCAATATCACACGAGTAGCAGTGCGATATGGCTGTATATCGGCACTGGTGGGAGGCGTGCCGATATACAGCCATATCGCACTGCTACGAGTGTGATATTGCGTTTATACAACAGTTTGACGGCATAATTGTGTATATAAAGACTAAATCAAACATGGAAAGTCTCAAAAACCCTTTTGTATGAGGAACTACTTTCTTCCGGATTCAAATCATAAGCTGACAGTTAAACAGTTGAGCGTGCATCTTTTAAACTTTAGATCTGTAGTGTCGGCTTTTTGCTGGCTGTATGTGGGCGGAGTAATACACAAAGCGTAAAGAGGCTGTAGGAGTTCTGATATTGCAGAATATTGCATGGCTGTCAGCCAATCAGATTTGAGAACCAGACAGAACGGTTGTATAAATATATAATGTTCTACATATACTCGGAATTAAAATGGCATCCGAGGATTGCTTCATATACTGCTGCCTGTAGGCAATGATTTGAAGATCCTCAGAGTCAATAACAATAATAAAACACAGGAGATACATTTTATTACAGATTCAGCACAACAAAACATTCCCAGAAACATAAGCCTGCAACTCTTTCTGAAACACTTCTGCCTGTCTAATAGCAAATACAAGTGATTCCTTAAAGTTTAAAGTTTTCCTTAAAGTCAACGTGAAATCAAATTGACACTCTTTCCTTTAATTTCATCTAAATCTTTTCTGTAACAATGCTTATTCTTTCTGCTGATTTAATTAAGACCATTTAAACAACGCAGAATAACATTACCCAGTAATATTTCACCCCTACTGTATGCATTACGATCAAATCAGCACAGACAAATGAAGTAAATGCAGTCCTCTTGCTTGTCATGTTGACTCTGAGAACACAGGACTCTTGGACTCTTACCTCGGGGGTCTAAAGGAATATTGTAAGTGTCCCCCAGTACTACAGGACAGAAGCAAAGCAGAACAGAGAGAGAAAGAGAACAAGAGAAAGAGGCAAAGGGCAAGAAGTTAAAATAGTTTGGTTAGTGAAGAGCTCAACCACTTACAGCAGCCAGGATGAAAGAGAGCAAGATCATGCGACAGGCAGGCAGAGCTGAGTGGGTGGAGCTGAGGGGGAGGAGCTACATAATGACATGCAAATTATTTAAATGTTCAGTATGAGGATTTGTACTGGCTATATGATCATGAAGCAAAAGTGTTCAGCAGATTTAACCCAAGGCCCACGTGGAATTTGCACACACATTATAGTTTATTTATTTACTTGATGTGTGTAAATGTGTGTAAATATGTATTTATTTAGTTTTTATATTAATTTTAGCACAATTATTAACTAACTAACATGCAAATGTTTATATGATTTCTTTACAATACCATTTGTAAAGTAATATTTTCTGTATTTTAGTAAATGAGAGACTTGCTTTGTTGCCAAACACGTGGATCTAATTGAATTTGCATTGCAAACCCAAAAGTGATTCTTTTTTATTTCATGCTTCAGGATTTTAGCTAATATACTAACAAAATCATTCAATTAGCAGATTATTTTGCTTGTTTTAAGAAAAAACTCATTTACTTTTGACATATTAGTTCTTAAAACAAGACAATACTTTTTGCCCGTCTAGAAAATGCTTCTTAATTTAAGAATTTTTAGATATTTGGACAGAAACAAGACTATTATTATTAATATTATCAAATAAAACAAACACAATATAAAATAATTCTAACAAAAGTTCTAATAACAGACTAAAATATAGCAAATCATTTATATTATATTATTTCATTATTATAATACAACAGTACTGTATTAAGTTCTATTATATTAATGTACATTTTAAAATAATCGATTAATAAAAAATAGAACAAGAAGTATTAATCGAGTGTTACGACTGAAGTTTATTTATTTATTATTGCGAATTGCATGTCTTTTTTTTTTGTCCCGCCTTCGTGTTGTTTTTCTGTTATCCTATAGGCTCCTCTACCGGTGTGATCCCGTGTTCTGATTGGCTGCTGGTCTCGGAGGCCTGTATAAAAAGGAGCCTCCGGCAGGGTTAGGGGAACTCATTTGTGCTGCGTTCGGTGCTGGGAGTGGAGCTCTTGGATTTCCCTTAGCCCTCCGGCCAACGACCAACAATCAATTTTGTACCATTATTCATACGTTTACCTAATTTGGAGAGTTTGAGCGTGTAGGGGTGGCCTGCCTATTTATTTGATTACTTTTGACTTTGTTTATGTTTAGGGAGAAAGGTAAGCTTCCTGTATTTAAAAAAATATATATAATTAGGTAATGTAGTGCATTTACTTTATACATTCTGTTGTTTGTTATTTTGGCCTGTGGCCACCCTGAAGAGATGCTCATATATATTTACTAAATTTTTCTATAATAAATATATTTATATACTCTCAACTGAGTGTCTGAGTTTGGTTGTCGACCGAAGGAAATCTTTTGCATTAAGTTTTTGTTTTGATTGGGAAATCCACCACCCAAACACATTTGTTTTCTTCGTTTATTATGCCCATGTTGTTTTCCCCTAGACTTGGGGCGTAATACGAGTAAAAGTAGACCGCAATTTCTGATTTCAGTCAAATGCTATTTGGTATTTATTTTAATGTTCACAGTATAGTGTAATGAACAAAGTATTAAGCAAGAATATAAAGAAATGTGCGTCCTCTATTTTTCTTTGAGCAGTTTATTGCCAATTAGAGACTAAACTGTTATTATATGCAGGATGGAAAGTGAAGGTCGAGGGGAAAATAGCTGAATATGATTTTTATAACATAATTCCAGAATATCACCTTGAGAAAAAAAATACAAAAAACAAAAGGAAAAAAGAAATGCAGACTGCAGGAAATGTGAAAAGATGACAAATAAGGAGACAGAAGGATGAGGACAGTAGCCTGTGTGTTATGAACATTAATGCAATAAGAACAGACATTTCAGCAGTCCAGTATACAGCTTAGATCTGGTCTTCAACTGTATAATGTGTCATTAATAAGCCAAGAATATTTGCAGCCGAAGTCAAAATTATTCACTCCTGTTATGTGATTTTGTTCTTTCTTTGTCAAATATTTCCCAAAGGATGTTGAACAGATTCAGGATTTTTTCACAGTATTTCCTATAATATTTTTTCTTCTGGAGAAAGTCTTATTTGTTTTATTTTGGCTAGAATAAAAGCAGTTTTTAATTTTTTAAAAACATTTTAAGGTCAATATTATTAGCCCCTTTACGCTATATTTGTTTTGGATGGTTTAGAGCAGGGGTGCTCAATCCTGTTCCTGGAGATCTACCTTCCTGTACAGTTTAGCTCCTACCCTGATCAAACCCACCTGAACCAATTAATTAGGACCCGAAATCCGCTTGATAATTATAGACAGGTGTGTTTGATAAGGGTTGCAACTGAAATCTGCAGGAAGGTAGATCTCCAGGAACAGGATTGGCCACCCCTCTCTGCTGAAAAATCTTGCTTAAACCAGCCTAGGCTGGTTGGCTGGTTTTAGCTGGTCGACCAGGCTGGTTTTAGAGGGATTTTGGCCATTACCAGGCTGGTTTCCAGCCATTTCCAGCCTGGTCTTAGTTGGTCAGGCTGGAAAATTACCAGCCAAATCCAGCTAAAACCAGCTTGGTTTAAGCTGGACATAGCTGGTTTTGGCTGGACTCCCAGCTTGGCTAGGCTGGTCAAGCTGGTTTGCCTGACCAGCTAAGACCAGGCTGGAAATGGCTGGAAACCAGCCTGGAAGTGGCCAAAACCCCTCTAAAACCAGCCTGGTCGACCAGCTAAAACCAGCCAACCAGACTAGGCTGGTTTAACCTAGATTTTTCAGCAGGGCTGGTTTAGAGAGTAAACCCCTGTTATACAATGACTTGGCTAATTACCCTAATTTTACCCTAATTAACCCAGTGAATCCTTTAAATGTCTCTTTAAGCTGTATAGAAGTGTCTTGAAGAATATCTAGTCTAATATTATTTACTGTCATCATGGCAAAGATCAAATAAATCAGTTATTAGAGATGAGTTATTAAAATTAGTATGATTAGAAATGTGTTTTAAAAATCTGCTTTTCGTTAAACAGAAATTGGGGACAAAACATACAGGAGGGCTAATAATTGTGACTTCAACTGTATGTAATGTCTGTTTTTCTGTAGTCTGTGTTTTACCCTGAGACGCCAGCATCGCTCCTGCTGTTTCCTGGAAATCCAGCAGCTGCTGCAGAAACAGGATTGCCTGACAAAATACATTAGGAGAAGACATTTATTTATAATAAAACACCACTTTGAGTACGTTTACTGCATGAAATGGACAATGAAGAGATCTTACATTGCTGGTCAGCTCATGCACAGTTCCATCTTTCGGCATGTTGTACTCTTTATCCGGATCATTCTGTCGGAGAGAAAAACATAATCAATATACAGTTAAAGTCAGAATTATTAGAACGCCTTTGAATTTTATTTTCTTTTTTAAATATTTCCCAAATGATGTTGAACAGAGCAAGGAAATGTTCACAGTATGTCTGATAATATTTTTTCTTCTAGAGAAAGTCTTATTTGTTTTATTTCAGCTAGAATAAAAGCAGTTTTTAATTTTTTAAACACCATTTTTAGGACAAAATTATTAGCCCCTTTAAACAAATTTTTTATCCAGTAGTCTACAGAATAAACCATCGTTATACAATAACTTGCCTAATTACTCTAACCTGCCTAGTTACCCTAATTACCCTAGTTAAGCCTTTAAGTGTCACTTTAAGCTGTATAGAAGTGTCTTGAAGAATATCTAGTCTAATATTATTTACTGTCATCATGACAAAGATAAAATAACTCAATTATTAGAAATGAGTTATTAAAATTATTATGATTAGAAATGTGTTGAAGAAATCATTTCTCTGTTAAACAGAAATTGGGGAAAAAATAAACAGGGAAGCTAATAATTCAGGGGGGCTTATAATTCTGACTTCAACTGTATATGGAATAATTATTGTCATTATGAAAGTATATAATTAGACTTATAAACCTATATAAAATTATAAATTAATATATGGGGGGGGGATGGGGGGGGGGTAGCAAGAAGGTCGCTGGTTTGAGCCTCGGCTGGGTCAGTTGGCATTTCTGTGTGGAGTTTGCATGTTCTCCCTGTGTGTGGTGTGGGTTTCCTCAGGGTGTTCCTGTTTTCCCCACAGTCCAGAAACATGCGCTATAGGTGAGTTGGGTAACCTAAATTCTCTGTAGTGTATGTGTGTGAATGATAGTGTATTGGTGTTTTACAGTGATGGGTTGCAGATGGAAGGCCATCCGCTGCATAAAACATATGCTGGATAAGTTGGCGGCCTCTGAATAATAAAGAGACTAAGCCGAAAAGCAAATGAACAAATTAATGAAAATTAAAATTTGATACTAAAGGTTGAAGATCAGAAGGGGGCAAGTGATATTTCATTTTAGGAAGGGGCCAAAACTGTTTAATTTAACAAAATGACTATATTTTGATCTTAATCTTGATTTTAATCTTTTATAATACATATTTTTACACACATGGATGAACAATATACTTGAATAGATAATATATATATTTTTAAATAATAAAAGAAAAATTAAATAATAAATTCTTAAATTATTATTACATTCATTCTATTGCATTAAATTTTTATTTAATTAAAATATTAAATAATAATAATTATTATTATTAATATTATTTTAAACATTATTAAATGTATCAACAACATAATAAATAGTATTATTAAAGAAAATAAATACAATATAACAAAATATTATTAATATGAATATAAATACTAATAACAGACTACTTAAATACAATTATTATATTATTTGTTGTATTATATTGATATGCACTATTAAATTATTAATAATAATGGTTTTAAATACACAATAATTAAGTATTATTCTTAATATTATTATTCTAATTATTATTAAAATGCATTATTTAAAATAATATGATAAATAGTATTATTAAAGAAAACAAATACAACATATTAATAATAATATATTTACTAATAAGAGACTATCAAAATACATTAACTATATTATTTGTTGTATTATATTAATATGCATTTTTTAAATAAGTAAAATAAAATAATAAACAATAATTAATTAACAAAAAACAATAATTGTTATAAATACACAATAATGAAGAATTATTTTAAATATTATTATTCAGAATATTATTAAAATACATGAGTAATAATTTTATAATAAATAAAAATGTTGGAGAAAGTAAATACAAAATAACAATAATAACATTAATATAAGCACTAACAACAAACTACTTAGACAAAAATTATATTATTTATTGTATTATATTAATATACATTTTAAAATAAGTAAAAATAACTGTTTTAAATAATTAATAATGAAGAATTAAATGATTAATAATAATAATACATATTATTGTTTTTAATAATTTAAACAAAATAAAACATTTTGAATATTTATTTAACTACAAATGATTAATTAAAGATTCACAAATATAAATATTTTACTAACAAACAACATAAATACAATTAAATATAAAAATATAGATGTAAAATGAACCTTAATGCTGTCAGCAAACTCTTCCAGTGCTTTCGCTCCAATAGTCTCCATAGAGGTGATGAGCGCCGGCAGCTTGTTTTTGGTGCTCGCCGCTGTTCCCTGCAGTGTGGCATCGAAGTCTGGTTTGGTCTGTTTGAGATGCCGTAAGATGGGGAAGATGGTCAGAACGGCGGAGTAATCGTGTCTCATGATGGCTCGACGCGCAGCAGACACGATATTATCACCTTCCAGCATTAAATTATCCAGCGCTTCCTGCAAACACACAACGCTGGGAGTCAACACACATGCAGGTCCACTCACGAATGGTCACATTTAAGCACTTTTTAAGCACTTTCTGGGTGTAATTACACATTTTTTTACATTTAAAATTATACATTTAAATAATATGTAAGCAAATTAGATATTTGCATACATATACATGCTATGATATACCAGATGATTTTTGTTTTAGTATTCTGTAGCACAGTATGGTAATCTAAGGAAAAATGTCAACCACATATTTGCCCCAAGTGTATTAAATTACTGCAGGGTTTTTCAAAGTCTAAGACAGTGGGCCTCCCTTTTGACACAACTTATCCATTGGCGCCCCCCTCCTCCCAAACACGCACGCACGCATATATATATATAAAGACACAGACAGATGTCAGACTGTTAACTCACTTTTATCATCATTTGCATGAAAGTGCAATTATTTACAGAGTAATAACAAGCATTTTAATATAACGTTTTTAAAACTAGGATGATGGTTCAATATGAATAGAACAGTTCCAAGAACTGTCCGTCCCAGTCAAAACAGTGGAAGTTTAGCGGGTCTCATGCTGTCATTGCCAAAATATTTTGACAAACCACACATAAAGGTCGTGGTTCCTCAGCTGGTCCTGTCCACGTAAATCCTAAACTCAAATACTGATCATCATATCGTTGTCTTTTGGGTTTAAGCCCTGAACTTGAAGGCTTTTGTGGCGAGGGGGCGTGGCCGAGCGCCGTGGGAACGGAGTGAGGCCACCGCGTAAGTGGATCCACCTGCGGTGCGCACCTGCCTCAGATCCCACGGAAGGAGCTCTGGATCATAAAAGGAGGAACAAGGGCAGAGGAAGCCGAGAGAGGACCGGACCCAAACATATTTTACTTTTGCTTTCAGTTTGACGGCAGTCTCCGTGAGGATCTGCCGTCCGTTTGTTTTGGTTTAGATGGAGCTGCCGTCACTGTCACTTTAAAACTGCTTCGGTTCTCCGCCTCCTTCCCGGCGGCCAAAGGGCCGTGAACTTCATTACAGTTTTGAATCGGGGTGGGTCTCAGAAACCGACCCAATGTATTAGCAGGCATATAATAAACGTTTAAATATAATAAAAAATACATATAATAATTAAACTTAATAATTATATTTTTATTATATTATATTTTTTCCTGCGCCTCCCCTGACATGCTTTGGCGCCCCCCAGGGGAGGCGCGCCTCACACTTTGAAAACCCCTGAATTACTGTCATTGACTCTCCTAAATGTCATTAAAACTGACATTTCTCCCTATAAAGAAAATCAGGGGTAAAATAATAAGTCGAATAACAAGAGATATAAGACAGTATATGGAAAAGGCCATACTGTGAGCCTCAGACACTGTTGTTTTCTCATTCTTGTGTAAATTGCATGAGTGTACAATCCCGATTGACAATCAAAACACAAGGCAGACTGCTGCGTGACTCACGGGCCACGCCTGCATCATCTGCATGTACTTTAAGTCATGTTCAAACGTCATCAGGAGATCACTAGCCAAAACACAGACTGATATGTTGGGATCATTAATACACGTTTGATAAGCCACAACATTTCCTAGTGAGACAACAATGATCTCTTTCCTCCCTTAGTTCTTTGTAGGTTTATTTTCAACTTACTATGTATGTGGGACTTTTATTTTGAAAATGAGAGATGCAGATTGTTTACTATGTGTTATTAAATAATGACAGACACGTTCAAACTCACGTCAGGACAAATGCAGGATTTATAGATTATAAATGTATACCCCACCCCCTCACAACCCCCCTGCATTTTTTCCATACCTTGAGAGAATACTAGGTTCAAATTCAAGGGTTATTAGCACTCACACAGCCCTGACCTGAATGAGCGAGTCGAAGGTTTTCTTCTGGTGGTGTTCAGGAATGATCTCGGTCAGTAAAGCGTATTCACTCTGAGCCAGCTTCACAAACGCACTGATGCAGTGGATGTAGGAGTCGATCTCGATGTCCAGCACATCATCTTTCCCTGAGATACACACACACACACACACGAATGTTAAAAAAATTACCAAGTGCTATAAAATGGAAAGAAGAAAAGGCTTTTAAATCATGATGACAGTGACATAATATTCTACTAGTTTATTGCAAGATACTAGCATTCAGTTTAAAGTAAATTAGAAACTAGGTTAATTAGGCAAGTCATTGGACATCAATGGTTTGTTCTGTTGCCAATCAAAACAATTAAAATATTAAGGAGGCTAATAATATTGACCTTAGATGTTAGCTGTTAGTTAATATTGATCCTTAGCTGGATTAATATATATATATATATATATATATATATATATATATATATATATATATATATATATATATACATACACACACACACATACATACATACATACACACACACACACACACACACACACACACACACACACACACACACACACACACACACACACACACATATATATATATATATATATATATATATATATATATATATATATATATATATATATATATATTAATCCAGCCAAACTAAAAGAAACACGACTTTTTGGGGGAAAAACAAAACACAATAGGAAAAACTGTGAAAATGTTTCCTGCATTGTTGAACAGCACTTTAACTGCACATGCTAATTAACAAAGTTTTTTATTTTATTTACTTAAAACCACAACAACAACAAAATATTACAACTTTTAAATTCAAATATAGATAAACAAGTGTGCAGCTGTGTACTTACTTTACGCAAAACTTATAAAGGTTATACAAAAAAGTATTACGTAAAAGTATTACCTAGTATAAAAAAGAATGTGTATATGCACTCACCGGCCACTTTATTAGGTACACCTGTCCAACTACCTGGTAAATTTCTAATCAGCCAATCACATGGCAGCAGCTCAATGCCTTTAGGCATTTATACATGATCAAGATGATCTGCTGCAGTTCAAAGCAAGCATCAGAATGGGGAAGAAAGGGGATTTAAGTGACTTTGACGTGGCTTGGTTATTGGTGCCAGACGGGCTGGTCTGAGTATTTCAGAAACTGCTGATCTACTGGGACTTTCACGCACAAGCGTCTCTAGGGTTTACAGAGAATGGTCTGACAAAGAGGAAATATCCAGTGAGTGGCAGTGCTGTGGGTGCAAATGCCTTGTTGATGCCGGAGGTCAGAGGAGAATGGCCAGACTGGTTCCAGCTGATAGGAAGGCAACAGTAACTCAAATAAGCACTCGTTACAACCGAGCTCTGCAGAAGAGCATCTCTGAACACACAACACGGCCAACCTTGAGGCGGATGGGCTACAGCAGCAGAAGAGCACACCGGGTGCCGCTCCTGTCAGCTAAGAACAGGAAACTGAGGCTACAATTCACACAGACTCACCAAAACTGGACAATAGAAGATTGGAGAAACGTTGCCTGCTCTGATGAGTCTCCATTTCTGCTGTGACATTCGGATGGTCGGGTTAGAATTTGGCATCAACAACATAAAAGCATGAATCCATCATGCCTTGTATCAGCGGTTCAGGCTGGTGGTGGTGGTGGAATGTTGTGGGGGAGACTTTCTTGGCCCATTAGTACCAATTGAGCATCAACATCACAGCCTACCTGAGTATTTTTGGCAACCATGTCCATCTTTTTATGACCACAGTGTAATTCCAGCAGGATAACGAACAATGTCATAAAGCGTGAATCATCTCAGACTGGTTTCTTGAACATGACAATGATGTCAATATAGAGCAAAATCTCTGGGGAATATTTCCAGTACCTTGTTGAATCTACGCCCTGAAGGATTAAGGCAGTTCTGAAGGCAAAAGGGGGTCAACCCAGTACTAGTAAGGTGTACCTAATAAAGTGGCCGGTGAGTGCATTTTTTTATATTCTGTATAATTCAACAAACACAACAAACAGAACAAACCCCCTAATAGTTCTTAATATAAAATCCTCCAAAGTTAATAGTTTATGAGCTGCATTAATGCATATCAATCATGAATAAATGTGAGCAATGTTTGAACCTGATGGTAAAACTTTCTTTGATTAGTCGCTAACACATAAGCGACTTTACACGGCAAGATCAATACAGACAAAATACATATATAAAGATATATAACAATAACAAAAACAACTTTATCGTTAATAAGTTAAAATTCAAAAGAAAACACTTCAAATTTGACATTAACATTAAATATGACTTGTCTTGATGCTGAAATAAATGTGCAAATAATTAAATGTGAAAAGTTTCTCAAAAGCCCTCATGATTGTTTTTGATGAATCAACAAAGATACTTCATTTGATTAACTTGCAGTCATTTAGACTGAGAGAATCACTGAATCTTCAAACTGAATCTCAGGGCCCTATCATACACCCGGCGCAATGTGGCGCAAGACGCGGTGCAATACTTGTTTGCTAGTTTCAGCTTGGCGCAAGAATCGTTTTGAGGCGTTACGCTACGCTGTTTAAATAGCAAATGCATTAGCGCTCATATGTGCACCCGTAGGCGTTCTGGTCTAAAAAGGAAGGTGTTCTGAGGCGGACCGCTGGCGCGTTGCTATTTTGAGAAACTAAAATAGATTTTTCATTAGACCAAAACTAACCCGGTCTAAACTCCAGCACAGAGTTGCGCCTCGCTTACACACTGCTTAATACGCACAAGAGAGCAATAGGCAAATATCTTTACATATGAAAAAATTAAATATTAAGGATATATATAGGATATAATAAGAATAGATATAGGATATAAATATAAAGGATTAAAATATTACAAAACATTATTTTCTAGCCTACATAAATATGAAAAATCACTGCTTTTATGTCTTCTTCATCTCGGGAGGCTTTTTCAGTTCATTCATAACAATTTGCTTTTGTATAATGTTATTATTATCAGCAGTATTATTTATTATATCCATATTTATATTTGTTTTATTAAAAACAAGCTTAGATTTGTCCACCTGTCAGGTTTAAGACCATATGGGGCACAGCATGTGTTTTAGGATATAACTCAGGTTTTTGAGCACATTTTGTTATTATTGTTCATTTATTCGTTTGCTGGAAATTAGAACTGAATTTAGAAATAGTTTTGAAATTATTTTTGCGCTTAACAAAAGCAGATTAATTATTTATAGACTAATTGATGTCTGTACGTAAAGGTTTCCCTATCCAAGAGCGAAAGTGAAAGATCCACTATCCCTCATTCTCACGCAGTAGATGCTCTGTTTACTTTACATCCTGTAAATAGCTAATGTGTTCTTGGCGCGACGCAGCTGGCTCTTAAAGGGAATAGGAGAATTGGTTTATTCTCAAAACACACCTATAACTCATTAAGAAAATAAACACAACCCTTTTACACCATGCGCCATGGCGCAAAGCGGATTTTCCCGTCCGTAAATTATCAAAAATGCGTTCTGACATGCCCTGAAAGCGTTTGCGCCCTGCGTTTTGCGCTCTGCGCATGGACCATCAGAACAGAGCCCTCAGTGTTTAATGCGCTTTGTTGAAGCTCTACCAACAGAATCTCTGACAGAAAATAATCCAGATTCAACACTTAGTTGGTAAAACAAAAACACCTGGATGTTAAAATACACATTAATTAAAACATACACCCTCAAGACTCTGTGTATTCACTAATGTAATAAAAATCTTGGGAACCAGTCAAAATCATTTTCAGTGTGTCATTTTGAGCTCTTTTTACTGGTACTGTGTTCAGACTCACCTGCAGTCGCCCCGTGCTTTTCATCAGACAGGTGCTTGACCCCCCGCAGGTCATGCTCGAAACCTAATTGGTTAGGATATAGTCACATGACCCACTGATTCTCTCTCTATTTATATAAAGGGAGCTGAAGAGCTGAACCCGCCACAAAGCAGAGCAAACCCTGACGCTTCACACACTGTGCTGGTGGGGATGTTAGTGGGGGTTCTGAGTGCACCGATGAAGCAGAGGATTATGGGAAATCACAGCAGTTTGTGTCCTCAGTAGGAGACTGAAAAACATTATTACATTCTTCCTGCTGCTAAAGTAATCTGTGTTGTAGGCTAAAACAAATTTATTTGAACATTTCTAAGTGCACAGCACACATTTTTGAACCAGATTTAATGTAGAAATTTCTAGAAAATGTACAAAAAATTAAAAAGATTTGGCAAATAGCACTGAAATAAAGGTTTCAGAATACTAAACACTTTCCTTGTAAATTGCTTTACTTGATGGGCTGTTCATAAGACTGTCATTAAACTTTAGAATCATGACAAGTCACGTCATTAATGTGAATGAGAATTTTCTGCATGCTTATAACAACTGTTATTAAGTGTCATTTGCGCATGAAAACTTAAATGGAAAGATGACACTGTTTGTTATGACGATTCTTTGTAAAAATTTGTCCTTTCCTAGAAAACTCTACATTAAATCTGGTTCAAGAACGGCTTCTGTGCGCTTGGAAAAGTCAACACACTGTTACTTTAAGTCAGAATTAATATTTCAAATATTCAGATTTTTTTTAAAGGATGCAGATGTATAATGCAGTGCTGTTTTAGTGTTGGTCAAACAATGAAATAATATTTTAAAGTAGCTTTTATATTTAGTTTTCATTTCAGTTTTAATAATTTGGTATTTCTGTTTTTAAAAATTATATATCAAAAATGATATACACCCCCGAATTGAAGTCATTTTAGTAATTCGATACAGTAACATTAATAAAAGGTTTTTAAACTTTACAGTTTTGTTATGTAATATATATTATTTAAGATATTTTCAATGTCAATTTTTTTTGTTTTTTTGAGACACGGCATATATATGTATACATACATAACATACATACACACAGCCCCTCTGAATTATTAAAGCCCCTGTTATTTTTTCCCCCACAGTTTTAATAACTCATTTCTAATAACTGATTTATTTTATCTTTTTTCATGATGACATTAAATAGTATTTTACTAGATTTTTTCATGACACTTCTATACAGCCTAAAGTGACATTTAGAGGCTTAACTAGCTGACTTCAACTGAATATATACATGTGTATATATATATATATATATATATATATATATATATATATATATATATATATATATACACACACACACACACGTGTATACACACACACACACACACACACACTTTTGTATATATATATATATATATATATATATATATATATATGTATATATATATATATATATATATATATATATATGTATATATATATACATACATACATACACATATATACACGTGTATATATATATATATATATATATATATATATATATATATATATATATATATATATATATACACACACACACACGTGTAATATATATAACACATGTAATATATATATATATATATATATATATATATATATATATATATATATATATATATATTTTTTTTTTTTTTTTTTTTTATGAAGTAAGAATTATTTGTGCCCCCTTGAAATTTTTTTTCTTTTTTAAATATTTCCCAAATTTTATTAAACAGAGCAAGGAAATTTTCACAGTATGTCTGATAATATTTTTTATCTTCTGGAGAAAGACTTAATTACTTTATTTGGGCTAGAAAAAAAATCTTTTAGTTTGTTTGAAATCTTTTAGTAGTTGAGTTTTTAGTTTTTAAATGAGCATTTTCAGGTCAAAATTTTTGCCCCTTATATATTTTTTCGATAGTCTCCACAGAACAAACCATCGTTATACAAAAACTTGCATAATTACCCTAACCTGCCTAGTTAACCTAATTAACCTAGTTAAGCCTTTAAATGTTTCTTTAAGCTGTATAGAAGTGTCTTGAAGAATATCTAGTCTAATATTATTTACTGTCATCATGACAAAGATCAAATGAATCAGTTATTAGAGATGAGTTATTAAAACTATTATGATTAGAAATGTGTTGAATAAATCTGCTCTCCGTTAAGCAAAAATTAGGAAAAAAAATAAACAGGGGCTAATAATTTAATGGGCTAATAATTCTGACTTTAACTGTATATATATATATATTTTTTTATTTATATTTTTTTTATAGCAATTTTAGTACTCTTGTCTAAATTTATTTTATTTCAGTTCACATCAGTAATCAAATTCTCCAGAATTATAGATAAATAAATGTTCAGCGAAGTCTTTTACAACACATTTTACACGTTCATTTGCAAAAACTACTTAGTTAAGTGCTGTCACACACTGCCATGTTTGCCAATCACTTATAAAAATAGTTTTAAGGTAGCTTAATTAACTTTTTTCTTGGACTGCCATAAAATAAATAACATCTGACAGCAATGCAAATGAATCTATACAGCAGGAACAGAAGAGTGCAGGAAGTTTGCGCTCTCTCTCTCCACTAAGGACAAAACTGCTGTGCTCCATGAGTTTCCTTCACGTCTGCTGCTGTTTTCCCAACAACAGCTCAAAAACACAGCAAAAGTGGGAGAAAAGAGGAAGGAAACCAGAAAGAGCGCGTGCTTTACCTTCCAGAGGGGTGAGGTTAGAACCCTTTTTTCCATCCAGGCCATGCTGAGAGTACTGTTTGAGCAGATTCTGAGCCTTACGAATGGTGCCTGCTCCCATCAACACCCACAGAGAGACAGAGAAGAAGAAGAAGAGGAGGAAGAAGAGGAGGAGGAGGAAGAGGAGGAACACCGTGAGGAAGAGGAAACCCTGATCACCACTGCAGAGGAACAACCCAGAGCAATACACACCCTTCCAGACTACAGACAACACACTACTAACACATTCACACTCGTCACACACACACTGTTCAAACAGGTACATATATACAGACACACACATAAACAAACACACACTCTCAAACACAAATAGGAACATACTTGAGTCCACACACACACAGACATGCACACACACACACTCTCTAAACTACATACACACACACACACACACACACTCAAAACTGCACACACTAACAGAAACGTGCATTCACATACACAAACACACTGTACACAAGCACGCACATACACACAGACATACTATACATATACACATGCAATGCACAAAAATCACATCACAACTTCTACAGCTAAACAAACTGGAACACACATCTCCCTCACACACACACACTGAGGAGAAAACACAAGCGGTTAATCCATCACAGCGTTTACACTACAGCATTGTGTTGTACAGTGATGTTAATGCAGTCAGGAACACTAGCGCTGCTCAAACACATCATCAAAACCATTACACACACACACATCATCATAAACTCATCCTGGACACACACACATATATGCTTAAACACAGGCGGGGGTCTTAAAGGGGTCAGATCATCATTTACATCATCAGATCTCATTTAGATCCACTGTATAATGTGCTTTCTAAACAAAGATTATTTTACATGCTGCTGTTTATCAGCAGTACATGAGAAGCAGATCGGTTCAAAACTAATGATGTGTTGATTTCAGGATTATTACTGTCAGGTAAAACTAAAAATAATACTTGCAATAAAGAAAATGTTAAGTGAAATAACAAAATAAAATCTGATAAAATTTGGTTTATGTAATATAATAATTAACACTGAAATTAAAATGATTAAAAACTAGACTATCAGACGTACAGTATTTGTAAAATAAAATGTTGTTAAAATAAATTACTGTTAAATAAAAAAAATGATGTTAAAATAAATAATAAAATAAACAAGTTTTGGAAAAAATGTTAAATATTATATTAATTCTAATATAATATATAACTGTGTGTCATTCAGGTACAAAAGCAATATTTTTTATTTAGTTTACACTGAAATAATGAAAACAAAAAAATGTTATTATTAAAAACCAAACAGATATATTTAGAATTAAATGAAAATGACAAAAAAAACTTTGTCATTTAAATAAATAATAAAATAAAAACAATAAAAAGATGAAAAATTGTAATTAAACAAAATATTATATATTTTTTATGCATTGAAATAAAGCAATGTTAAGAGAAATAAAATAAAATAAACAGAAAATTCTGCTTCAAATCATTTTCATTTAGTTGACATTATAGTAACTAAAACTGAAAGGAAAAGGATTTACAACTACACAGACATATTTAGACTAAAATGAAAATGACAAAAGATTTAATCATTCAAATAAACAATAAAATAAAACAAAGTCTAAAAATAAATGTATTTAGAAAAAATGTGAAATATCGAAATTAAATAAAATGTAATTTATGCCTTGAAATAAAATAATGTTAACAGAAATAAAATAAAAATAACATTCCCAAAGCAATCATTTTAATTTAGTTGATGATACTATAACAACCAAAACTGACTTAAATTACTTAAAAATATATATAAATAAGTTTAGGAAAAAGGTGAAATATTGTAATTGAATAAAATCATAAAATATAATTAAAATAAATAATGTTTAAAAAATTTAATAAAAAACAAAAAACGTTTTTTTTTTTCATTTAGTGAAAACTATAATAACTAAAACGGACAATAAAATGATTAAAAACTGAACAGACAAATTTGGATTTAAATGAAAATGACAAAAGATTGAGTCATTTAAATAAATAATAAAATAAAATGAACTATAAAACCAAACACATTTAGAAAAAATGTGAAATATTGTAATTAAATAAAATGTAATTCATGCCTTGAAATAAAATAATGTTAAGAGAAACAAAAATAACATTCGCAAAGCAATCATTTTAATTTAGTTGATGATACTACAACAACGAAAACTGACTTAAATGTTTTTATTAAATGATAAAATGATTAAAATCTAATCTAAAATGATTAAAAAGTACTTCTTAAAAATGAGAATGAACTAAAAAACCTGCAAAAATTGCATTAAAATTAAAAGAAAATGATTGCAGTTAAATATAACCATTATTTAGCAGTTGTATGGCTTAAAACAAAATGATATTAAAATAAACAAAACAAAAACAATCAGTTCCTTAAATTAATAATTCACTTTTTCATTTAGTTGATATCTCAAATTAACTCAAAGGTAAGAAATACATTTATAAAAACATGAAAAAAAACAACAAATATTCCTTAAAATGTCATTTAAAATGGAAAACAAAAACAAAAATAGATTAAAAATATTAAAGAAAATATATCAATCTGTTCTTACTAATTTGTTTATTATTTAATTAAATTAAATTACGTTAATTACACTTTATAACATTATAATAACGATAATTACCTTTAGTATTTTCAAGTATGAGCTAAATTGTACAAATCAATAATTATTAAGATGATTGATATATTGCATGCTTTAATGATGAAACGCCCCTTTAACAAGCAGATCAGATGCAGTTTCTTCAGCAGTGTGTTATAGTGTGCGCTCTCAGAGATGACAGACACACTGGTGTGTGTTAGTAAAGAGCAGAGCAAACACAGCGCCGCCGTGTGGTGGAGAAATGAACATGCTGACAGGTGTGTGAGGGTTAGTAGAAAACACACAATCTCACGGAAAAAACAAAACGAACGTGCTCTCTGCTTCCAGAAACACCAAGACTCAACTACGATACAATCTCATACACACACACACACACACACACACACATCCAACAGACAGGAATCAACACACCGCATATGTGCTTTAAAGTACTAGTTTTCCTGGTGTATGATGGAGATATGAAAAGAAAACTAACACATATTATGCACTGAGTCTATCACTAGTGTGTGTGTGTGTGTGTGTGTGTTTGCTTTTTCACATTGGTCTTAATTTCATTCATTCAATTTTCTTCGGCTTAGTCCCTTTTTTATCAGGGGTCACCACAGCGGAATGAACCGCCAACTTATCCAGCATATGTTTTACACAGCAGATGCCCTTCCAGCTGCAACCCAGTACTGGGAAACACCCAATACACACTCACATTCAGTACCCTGAAGGAAACCCATGCCAACACGGGGAGAACATGCAAACTCCACACAGAAACGCCAACTGACCCAGTCGAGGCTTGAACCAGCGACCTTCTTACTGTGAGGCCACAGTGCCGACCACTGAGCCACCGTGTTGCCCGTATGTGTATTATATATATATATATATATATATATAAGTGTGTATATGAGTCTGTGTTTATGTGTGTGTGTGTGTGTGTGTGTGTGTGTGTGTGTGTGTGTGTGTGTGTTTATGTGTGCGTAAGCGCTGGCTCTAAAAACAGAAGCAAGCGATGGCCACGTCACAACACATCTGCATGTTTACCTGGGATGTAGACTGACATCATCAGACAGGAGTGAGACAGAAGAGAAGCACTGTTAGTAAGAACACTAGGAAACAGGAACAGGAAATGGAGGCAGAAACACCTGTGATCCCTCCGGAACCCAAAGACAGAGGCGGTCTGGCAAGGTCAAGGGTTAAAGGTCACTGACCTGGTCTTTTGGGGGCCTTCTTGGTGGGTGTCTCCTTGCGTTTGGTCTGGACGGCGGGCGAGTGGATGGCGGAGGTGGCGCTGTTTTTACGGAAATGCTCCTTCAGGCCTTTAATGGAGCGATCCAGCTGACTGGAGCGGACCTGGAAATACACGTTCATGAAGTCTGCGGACACACAAACAGACACACAGGAGAATTAGTACACAAAAACACACACCCTGTACTCAAATAGAAGTACAGATACTCATGTGTAAAATGACTTTGGTACTGGCTACACTATTGTACTCAAAAAGTAAAAAGTAAAATTGAGAAAGACCTCAAATACGTTCTTAAAGGGCAGCTGTGATGAAAATCCTCTTTCTTTTGTAAGCTGTTTGGACAGAACTGTGTGTAGTAGGGTTGGGCATCTAAGCTGTAATGCCGATCTGATACGCATCTCGATACAAAGAATACGATCCGATATATTAGCGATACATTTGTGACATATTGCGATGCCATAGATATATACACTAGATATTGCATAGGGACCCTGAGCATGCGTCAATAGCGCCGCCACATTGGTACAGGGCTCCCAGGACAAATGTCATTCAACCGCACTAGTCAAGACAGAGTTATTACGTGAAGATGCGGGAATTTAGCGCTGTCTACGGGTGTAGTAACGAGCAAACAAAGAAAACAAAGCACAAAGGCAGAACATTTCATACATAATATTAAGTTTTTTTCTGTTTTTGTATGTTCTGAACTTTTGTGCTAATCAGGTAACGTTATTGATGATAACAGTCTCTTACTGCATTCACCATACGGCAAAGCAGCTCCAACTCACACTAAACACTCGGCTTATGCTAGTTTTGTTGAATAAAATCAGCAAACAATGCAAAAGAAATATGACAACGAGATGCTGCGCTGCCAGAAACTTGTATTATTGTCGGCTAACGTTAGTGAAAGAGTCGTTCGGGGGATTCATTCACAAACGAATCGCTCCCTCCGTCAGTATGAGCAGTGAAAGCAGGAGAGGAGCTGTGTTTCAGGACATGATTAGATCAAATTTAACAGGAAGGGTGGATAGTACATTTCTGTACACACAAACACAAGCTTTTTGTCAGGAATGCCCGTGCGGTCACTGATCCATCAATGTAGAAAAGTGATGTCAAATTATAATTTTTGTAATTAGAAAAAAAAATGACATACTAACATCCAGGAAAACTCCCGATCATAGATATATGTGTATATCTCTGGCTTTGCATGGCCACAGTCCTCCACTGTACCTTGGTCCCGCATACATTTCAAAGGAGCGCTACCCTGTAGCAAGATGGCGGCGCTATTGATGCATTCCGTCCAATAGACAACAATAGGCCAGGCGACATCTAATGTATATATCTATGTTGCGATGCAACACGATACGATTCACACCCATATCACGATACAATGCGATAATTCAGCACTAACTAATTAGATCAAGTTTACGAGATGATGTGAAAGAGGATGCTGTGCCATTGAATGAGTTTGATTATTTATTAACCAAGCAAAACCAAGAGTTTTTTACAAACTCGCTTCTCTTTCAGAGCCAGAATGTCATTTTACAGTAGAGGGCCATTTTAGAACATATAGCACATATTATTTAAAGATTTTCAAGATAAACAGAATGTATAAGTGCAATATATATTAAAATATATATATTTGCACTCTTTCAACATAAAGGTTTAGCATTGCACAACAAGAATTGTGATTTAACTTTTCAACTATGAAAACAAGTTTTACAAAGATATTTTGCCACTGAATATTCAAAACTTAAGGTGGTGAACTAGCAGTGTTATGCTGCTTTGAAACATCACTGTCACTGTAAACAACAGGCTGATAAAAATATAACAAACCAGCAATCTTCTTGCTGTGAGGTGGTCAAACTACCCACTGTGCCACCGTGACACCCATTATTTTTATCATTATTATTATTAATATTATTATTTTAATTAAATGAAAATTAACAGGAGGAGGTGTTTAAAACCTTCGTTCTCCGTGACACTAGGCTGAATATCTTTGCAGATGAACAATGCAATAACATCCGTTATTGGCGCACAAAACTGTTGCGCATGGAAAAAAACTTGCAATGCTTTTCTCACCACTTTTGGAGCTGGTAGCTACAGTTGAAGCAGTGCAGGAAGCCGGGGATGCAGGAACACTGGAAGATGCTTTCACAACAACACCGTGGCGCCGCTTCAAGTGAGATTTCAGATTACTCGTACTGCCCGCGTATTTACAGATGCGCGGCACATTTTGCAAATTGCATCTGTCCTGTCATGTCGTCCATCCTTAAATCCATAATGTTGCCATACTTTAGATTTAAAACTCAGTGGGGAATAAAATGTTTGTTTTGCTTCTCGCGCTTTCTGAGGGCGCACCACTAGCTTCATCCGCACACCTGATACACTGAGTTGTAGTGTAAGTGTACACATCCGCAAATCCATTGCTAAGGCATACTTTATGTAGGTCGATTAAATTATGCGGCAAAAACAGCAACAACTCTTGTTAATAAATAAAAAATACATTCTATGTTAAAAATATAAGCTGTATCTTGGAAAAACCGATGCATCTCGCAAAAACCGATGCATCTCGATTTGCTTCCAAAATGTCATTCATCCTCTGCTGCTCTACCGATGCACTCGCATCGTGCACGCACATGACCGCGTATCGATACATATCGATTAATCTTCCCATCCCTAGTGTGTAGGTATAGTGTGTCCACAGTCATACTGGAGTGACACACGTCCTGACGTCAAAATAGGATCCAAATCCCTCTTATTTTGAGGCCGACTGCAACTTGGTGTAGGAGTGCAGTTTCCCCGCCCACTGAATTGATTGACAGACGCATATTAACATGGCTCTGTAGTAATGCATATAATCATAACAACAAGACAGGACCTGCGCAAAGCAACCAGGATTAAAAGATTGATGATCCTAGCGAGCTAAACAGATCATCATCAAATGTGATCAAGAATGAGTTTCAGAGGTTTAACACGCATTTAAAACAGTGCATGCTTGTAATTAATTACAGCGATTTACTTCAGCTTTGCTTCATCCCCGCAGCCGTGTGTCAGAACATATATACAAGAAGATGCTTCAATCCCGGTTAGTGGACGTTAAATCAGGTTTATTTTGTACATTAACATAACGGATATCCATACAGCAGTGGATATTAACCTGTATCCTCTCACATTTGTTGTGCAAAAACAGTGCAAAGTTAAACGCGCGCGTGTGTCCGCTGTGTGTGTGTGTGTGTGCGTGAACTTTGTAACGACAATGAGTGTGACTAATTGCAGAAAGGCTTGAATTAACTCCCCAACAAATACATCAAATACTCATTGGGAAAGTTCTTACTGTAGTATTTCTCACAAACGTTACAGGAGATCTGCTTCCTTCATGGTGTCACTGTGCTGTTTATCTGACACAGCGGAGGCGGAGATTGAGGCATATAAACTATAAGCGCAAGCTTCGATGACGGCCCTTTCCAACCTCCTCCTCAAAATCATTTTAAAGTTGGACAAACTTTGTGCTGTAACTTTTGCTTTTTGTCGCTATTAATACACGCACTGCGGGCTACACATATAAAAACTTCTATCCTCTCCAACACCAGTGCGCACACAGGCAAACTGCACACACACACGCATCAGGGCATTACATAAACTGCGTGGGTGTATATATGGACTAAACCACTCCCTGCTTATACTACACTTCGCATATTTCGCAGAGCGAAAAACAAGACAATTTCTTCTATCGTGGCTAGTGTGGCACAGATTCTCGAACCCGCCTTTATGCATGCGCAACATCGTAAATTGTATGGCAAGTGTAAACGCATGAATTGGATATGGGTCACAGTTAAGACAACGTGTAAACGGACAGGCAAACAGATCAGATATGGACAACAAAACGGAATTGGGCATCAAGACTTGACAGTGTAAACGGGGCCTTTGACAGGCACGTGGGAATGGTAGGCGGTGAGAACCAGCATTAAAGGCACAGGCCACCAAAACAGCTAAATGGTGTTTAAAGAAGAAACTCCTAAGATTCTGAAAGGTGCTGCTGGGGCGAGACAGTCCTTAGGTGCAGCAGGCAGGCACTATTCAGGTACAGAGGGAGAAAATGTGGCTGTATTTTGGGGGCTTTGATATTTGTGACAATTGTAATGATTGATGGGTCAAATGACATTAATCATGTGAGACACAAAAAATCACTGATGTATTCTGATATTCCTATGCGTAAAAGCACAACTCTTAATGATGAAGTGAAACGTAAGAAAAAGGAAAGGCGTCTCCGGCAGAGGGCGCGCCGAGCCAACAAATCAGCTGGACGAACTCTCTGTGAACCCCTTGCTACTTCAGATGACCCTCTTGCTAGTAGTCGAACTCTGAATGAACTCCCAACTTGTACTTTTGCTGAACTCTCTACCGAGTTCACGCACCTGAATTTAAGTGCATAACTATATAGCACATTATAAATCAAGGCTTATATTAAAATGCCTAAATGTTGATTTATATGATATAATGTACTCTTGATGACTATATATCTGTCTTTTTACTGTTCAAGTGATTTAGCATGCTCCTTGAATGCATGATTTAAGTAGTTTGTGCACCTGTGTTTAGGGTTGATTTATGAATAGTCACTTAGACACTGAGTATAAAAGCTGATATGTACTCTTCAGCTTTGCGCTTTCTGACTTCTGTTCATTGAGGTTGGTTGCCCTTTGTCTCTAACGGGAGGCAAAGTAAGGATTTCTTGTTTTCTGTTTGTCTTTTGTTTGTTCTACTTTTTCACTGGATTTTATTTTATTAATAAAAGTGTATTTTATTAATTTTCTTCACTGGAGTGGACATTGACTTCATTTTCCAGAACCCATCTAAGTTACCCTGTGTGGTAAAGTATGCTCTAATTTATTCTTTTGCAAAATACGTTCTTTAAAGACGATCCTTTAACTAAACTCTTGCTAAGAAATATAGCTAAGGGAGGATCCTGATCTTAACTTTGTTTAATTAGGGTGATTAAATAAAGAGAAAACAGCACACAATGTTAAAAAAAAGGTTAAAAATCTTCAAGGGGACTGGATTAACATGTCACTAAACCAAAAGGTGTGAATGTAATTTCCCAAACAGTAATTTTTAGGAAAAGTATCGGATCGGTATCACCTTTATTTTACTTGGTATCGGATAGGAAACCAGTGGTATCACACATCACTAGTTTATATCGCCTCTGGGCAACTTCTTCAATGTGCACCCGCATTGACAGCTTTGCGCTTGAGCGCCTCCAAGTGGTGTTTACTGTAACTTTAGCAGCTCTGTGCACGTGAACAAAAGTGCCAATCTGATTGGTGGAGAAAAAAAGAGCATGAGGCGTTTCTTTAAAAATGACACTTTTACCCCTGCTGTTTTGCGCATTGGTGTGCACGATCACATTATCGGCCATTATTTAGTCATGAGGCGTTAAATGTCAACATAACGCGAGCAAAAATCGGTGTGAACAGGCGTTAAAAGTAAAATGTTGTCAGAAAAAAAAATAGTGATCAGTAAATGTGCTTCTATCATGTGTTTCTAGTTCATGCACATTTTTTCAATAGTCAATTGAAAACAAAACCATTAAGGTGGCTAATAATATAAACCTTAGCATTTAACTTTAAATATACTATAATTTCTTGCACCCATTAGCTGAAAATAAATAAATAAATAAAACTTATATCAGGAGTTTGAATATTTTTCTATATTTGGATTAGAGTGTGTGTGCATTGACCTTGGTTGCGTCCGTACTCCACCAGCCACGCAGAGATGCAGATGATGTCCTGCAGGACAGCTTCGGGCAGGTGCTCCAGCGTCACCTCCTCCTGCACCTCCATGTCCTCGTCTCCTCCGATGGCGTCCAGGATGAGGACGGGGGGCACTGGCTTACTGTAGCGCGTTAGCAGACTGCGAAACTCAGCCTCCAGCAGCTCCTTCCCTTTCTCAAAGCGAGCTTTCTAAAACACCACAGGTAACCAACTTAGACTTAATAACTAATTACTTGACTTCTGGTTGATCATTTGGTATCATAAGTGGCTCATATGAAAGGCAAAGGCCTCTAGATGACGCTTATTTGAGCACAATAAAATATGATCATGCCTTTGATGATTTCATTAGGACAGTGCGGTCTGACTCTGCTTAGACTAAAGTCTCATCACTGAACAGAAATAATGTCCAGTATAGAATATAAAGTCCTGCTGCAGTGGAGACAGAATGAATATTGTGTCTGACTCCATCATGAGCTTGGAGGACTGCATCCATACATCTCTGACATGACTCACATCACTGATTAATAAAGTCATCTGGAATGAAGAAGAAAGCCTTCCTGCAGGACTCCCAGACTCATTGTGTTCATCTTCAACGCCTCCTCCATCTTACCCCTGACATGCTCAATAATGTTTATAACTGGTGACTGGGCTGGCCACACCTTCATTGCTTTCAGGAGCTTTGATGTGGAGGCTGAAGTATGAGCAGGAGCGCTATCCTGCTGGAGAATTGTCCCTCTCCTGTGGTTTGTAATGTAATGGGCAGCACAAATGTCTTGATCCCTCAGGCTGTTGATGTTGATCATCCACTCTGCAGATCTCTCGCACACCCACATACTGAATGAACCCCAAACCATGATTTCTCCTTCACCAAACTTGACTGATTTCTTGGAGAATTTTGGCTCCATGCTGGTTCCAGTAGGTCTTCTGCAGTATTTGTGAGGATTGGGATGCAGAACAACAGATGATTCATGCCACTTTCCCAAATGATCAACTAGAAGTCAAGTTATTATTTGTTGCTCTTACAACTGGAATCAACGACAAGACTTTTGTCACATAGTGTATATGAGTAATGATGACCTACGAATGCCGATATTCTCAATTGTGGTAATTTCAAATGTAGTACCTACTCGAGTAGTGTGTGATTTTGGTTGAAGTGTGAGAGAGTGTGACAGACGTACCACGGTGTTAAGCTCAGGGCTGTCAGGGTTGTTGTCCTGAAAATACTCCACAGCTTTCTGGATCTTTGCAATGCAGGCCAGATACTCGTACAGGCGACCAGCAGGTCTGCAAGAGAAATTATTATGAAACCAAAATGAGCACTGATTGGATAGTCACACTTTATTTCATGTGTTATTATAATGACACAGGCTCATCCGGGAACTTCACGTCCCCTTGACCGTTATGTTTTACCTATATCCACATTCAAATGTAGCTGCTTGACTGTCATGTTGCGATTTTTGACTGCTTGCTCCAGTCTTGTGAATATACAATATGTAGGTTAGTGTATAGTCCAGGGGTCGGCAACCCAAAATGTTGAAAGAGCCATATTGGACCAAAAAAACAAAAAACAAATATGTCTGGAGCCACAAAAAATGTAAAGCCTTATATAAGCCTTATAATGAAGGAAACACATGCTGTATGTATCTATATTAGCTATATTAGCCTACTATAAAAATGACTAAATTGGCTACAAATACATAATGAGCCTTCATGATTAAATAGCCACTGAAATAAGGTGGTTGGTATTTATTTTGTTGTCATTAAAACACTTCAGCACAGCCTCTTGTCTTTTAGTGGTATTAATTTGATCATTGCTTCTTGCGGCCCATCAGAGTTCACATACCTGCAAAAAAACGCGTTGAATATCGGTCACATCACAGGCAATTGAGTATGCTGGCACTGAATTAATGTTTTTAAAGTTTGCAAATAGGTGTTCTAATATGTCATACCATATTTGAACGGTTTTCCATGCTTTATTATCTTCCGGTTTGTTTACAACAGCCACCTGCCTGGCATCCCGCCCTGCTGATAGAAACCTGTGTCGCAGGCTATGACGCAAATCTTCGTTGACAGAAATGTTGAAATTAAATATTAATTCTACACACTTTGACAGCATTTGAAAACGTTAAAAACGTTTGTCCTACTATAGAAATCATATTAAAACAAAAAATATATTAACCTCCCCCATCTTTTTGCATTTTCAAACATTTTTGAAAAAGCTCCAGGGAGCCACAAGGGCAGCGCTAAAGAGCCGCGGGTTGCCGACCCCTGGTATAGTCCATTCAACTGCTTTGGTTTCTGTCAGCGTTGCATTTTTGACTGTTTAATGCCATCTAGTGGCTGAATAATGCACAGGTTAGTGTATATTCCATTTAGCTGCTTTTGCTTCTGTCAGCTTTGTGTTTAATTTAAAAACGTGTGTTTAATTAAAAAACAAATAGAATATTACAGCTACAAATAATGTTTTGCATGTAATTTTAATGATTTGTGGTTAGTAGCCATGTAATAAGCGGGATAAAAGAACATCGAGGATGGTTTGTTTTTCATAGAATGAAGCCTTTTAGTCTTATTCAACAGTGTTCTGCTTTGAGTCTGGCTGCCGGTAAATATGTTGGGGTTTAATCTGTGATAATAACCTCCTGCATGTACTTTATCTGTAATAAATTGCAGTCAAAATTTAAAGTGGTTCAATTTTTCTAATAATTCAACGCACTGGTGTCAATTATTCCGCATATACTCTGGTTTCCACAGCTAAAGCCACTGTTAAGATGTTATATTTTACAAATCGGTCAGGTTTTTGACCTCAAACTGCTCCTGTGTGTAGGATTAGTTTCTTCCACATCTCCTCTAAAGCCTTCTGTTGTGCTGTGATGTGATTTTTGACTGTTGTAGCTGTGAAATAACTAAAATCATTTGGTGTGGTCAAATGCAGCTGTAATGAACCCAAAACCTGCCGGAACTGCTTTAGCTGTGCGTTTGTCTGTACACTGTGCAGATTTTAGCACCAACCCTAATCAAACACACCTGAACAAGCTAATCAAGGTCTTACTAGGTATACTTGAATCATCCAGGCAGGTGTGTTGAGGCAAGTTGGAGCTAAACCCTGCAGGGACACCGGCCCTCCAGGAGCGAGATTGGTGACCCCTGCTGTAGAATGTTCATCAGCCAATCAGAATCAAGCAAAAAGTGAAATTAAAACTTTTAATAATAATAATAATAATCAGTGATGCAGTAGGTAGTGCTGTCGCCTCACAGCAAGAAGGTCGCTGGTTCGAGCTTCGGGTGGGTCAGTTGGCATTTCTGTGTGGAGTTTGCATGTACTCCCTGCCTTCGCGTGGGTTTCCTTCGCGTGCTCCGGTTTCCCCCACAGTCTAAAACAGGTGAATTGGGTAGGCTAAATTGTCTGTAGTGTACGAGTGTGAATGAGTGTGTATGGATGTTTCGCAGACATGGGTTGCAGCTGAAGGGCATCCGCTGCGTAAAACATGGATAAAACATGCGTGGACAAATTGGCGGTTCATTCCGCTGTGGCGACCCCGATTAATAAAGGGACTAAGCCGAAAAGAAAATGAATGAATAATAATAATAATAATAAACCATTGAATAGGTGATCACTAACCCTTCCCGGATGATCTTGTCAGTGTCTTTGGCCACGTGATAGTAGCTGATGACGTGATCCATGTTGGACAGTGTTTTATCCACATTCTCCTGCAGCCGCTGCAGATTCTCCGTCTGCTTGTGAACCGGGATGATGGAGTTTTCCAGCTGCATCAGACGACTCTCAAATGACGACAGGATGGACACCTTAAACAAATTAAAACACACGTTCACCATTTCATTCACAAATACCAACCACAAAATAATACTTACAATGGATATATTAGGAAAAAAGCTACTTGTAAAACAAATATCACTGTACAACACTGCTGAGCACTGACTTTACATGATCGAACCAGAATGACACACTAGTGTTATTCACATTTATACAACAGTTCTTTCTGGTTCTTCAATCTGATTGGCTGAGTAGTGGCACGAGTGGCAAGGAGGACAACAGTTTGACAAATACTGCAGCTGTTGGACAACATAATGTACTTTTGAGCCTTTTTAGGCGAGAATGTAGTTGTTGTGATTGCAACTATGCAGTTTATTTATAAGGATAGTGCCTATTTAAATATTTTGAATTTAAGAGCATGCAGATTCAACACGTTGGCAGTCATCAGCCTGTCATACTGAGCAGAGCAAAGACGGTTGACGTTCCTTTTACCCTAATAAATAGACCTAATAATTAGCCCTTAGGTGTTAGCATATATTTCAAACTAAAGCTAAACAAATCTTTACAGAACAGCCAAGTGACTTTCTAAGTCAATCTCTCTTTTGTTTGTTGTATTGCTCTATTTATACCATAGTAATCTGGTAGTGTTTGCTTTGCTTTGGTTTTTTCGGGGTTAATTACAGTGATCTCCCAATTGCAATAGAGAAATACTGGGAGATATCTTTGTAGACTGATGGCATTTCATGCCGTTCAGCTTTATAATCTTAAAATGTGTGCAAAATCAGCTGTTTTGTCATCACTTTAGACATTACGCAAGAGAATCACTCAAACACTAGCTCTAAAGTGACGTTGGTGAATGAGCAGCGGTTTCTACTGTTCTGACGTCAGCTGCAGATGTGAATAAACGGCGGAAGAAAGTAGTTCCTCATACAAAAGGATTTTTGAAACTCTCCATGTCGAATTCTCTTTTGTTATATACACAATTATGCGGTTGAACTGTTGTATAAATGCAATATCACACTCATAGCAGTGTGGTATGGCTGTATATCATGTGACATTAAGATACTCTGTCTGCGGCCTTGAGCCAACACACGCCTCCTACCAGTGCCAATATACAGCCATATCACACTGCTATGAGTGTGATATCACTCATATAAATATAAATCTCTCACCATTCCTTTAGTGAGCTGATCACTCTTCTCCAGGCTTTCACGGATAAAAGAAAGCGTTTCTTGCTCCTGTAGATGATAGATACAATGAACAGGTCAAGACATGTGTTTTTTATTAGTGCTTTATGTTGTTTGTATAGTGTTTTAGTTAAATTCATATAGCAGGATAAAATGGTTTTTGGTTATGAAATTTGCATCTGTGAATATGGTACTTTCTAAATATTATCAAGAAATTATTAACATAAGTTTTCTTCTCTATTTTTTTTTTGTTGTAGTTCAAAAACCCAAATATAATATGTTGCTATTCTAAACGGAAATTTGTCAATAATTTGTCATTTATGAAATTGGTCATTTATCTCGTACCCTATTTTCTTCGATAACTGGCAATTCCAAAACATCTGCGGCACAGTTTCTGGCTGTGATAAACAAACTGAACAGTTTTGATCTATATTATGTCTAAACATTGAAAGAAAATGTTTGACAGGGTAAAATATATTCAGAATTTTAAATGAGACCTCTTTAAATTTGTTTGTAATAAATAATTTGTTAGGCAACGACCATAATTTTTTCCAATTTAAATCTCTGATGAACGCAGACCAATGAGAAATTATCTAGGGTTTACTATTTATGAGTGAATGAAATAATGAACGTATGGCCTTATTTTGGTGAGAAGAAAAACAAATTTTCCCACATAGTGTATCTTTAGGGTGTAACAGAGATATTTCCTGAATATGAGTAACCTTCACAGAGTGAAACAATACATAGGGGAATAGCAGCAAAGACCATTGCAAATTCTATTTAGGACACAGGAAAATTAAAATGTGATAAAAATTCATTAAGTAACCTTGGGAATTTAGTACCTGTCCCACCAAAAAAATTCCTTTTCAAAACAATTTTTTAAGAACAAGCTTTTATGTTTGTACAAAATTACTGTTTACATTTTGTATGCTTGAGATGTATGCAAATTACGTCATTATTTAATTAATTACTCATTTATATGACACAAAAAAACTTGTAATCGAAAAATGTTTGCAACTCTTAATGTTATCAATCAGCTGGGTGTTGATTTCCCTACTCTTTTCACCTGCAGTGTCTTGCTTAATAACACATTTTGTACGCCCCAACAGCTTATTTTATCTCTATTATTCAGCTTTCAATAATCTTTGTGACAGGCAAACAAGCAGATATGACGCTAGTTAAATCGCAAATGACATAAATAACACTGTCAGATCACGGGATTCTCATGTTATGCTTCATTCTTCCCGTTTTTCCTCTGTTTAACAGACCTGTTTGAGTTTCTCCTCAATCTCCCGCTTTCTGGCGGACGCGTCTTCGGTTGGGATCATCCTGATGGTCAGAAACACGATGGAAAATACAACTGGACCGTCCGGACCAATGTAAAATACACAATAATATTACAACATTAACCCGAAGACAGCGATAAACAACACGACACAAACGGAAGCCAGTGAAGTACAAAATAAAAGTCCTTTCTGAACCAAGTGTATCAAATGAAACAGAAGCAAAACAATATTCACTATTAAAAAGAAATACATATATGACGACAAAAAGGTAAAAAGTGTACTTAAATGAAGTGCGGCAGGAATTTATAACTACTAAAATGACAAGAAACATAGTGATATTCAATTTATATACAGTATTTATAACGCAACTGTATATACTTATATTATACATATTACCAAATTGTAGTAACATACACAGTAAAATTACATATTATAAATGCATATTTTTTTACGATTATAACAATTTATTATCAATTCAAGTTTCTCAAAATCTTCGAGACTGAAGTTGTTAGGGATATATTTAGTTAACGACTACTAAATATATGTATTCATAAGATCTTAATTTTTATAATATCCTTACCAAACAAAATTATATACAAAATAAAGTTGAATAAAGACATACACTAAATCAAAACACATGAACGCATACACCTTTAACCATGCACCAAGCAACGCTTTAATCACGAGTGCTTTCAAAATCCATGGGACTCTTATTTTGATGAAAAAACCTGATGGTGTGATAGTTGCTTCACCTTCACTGTCTGGTCAGAGATTTAGGGAGGCTCCTGCTGTCAGATTGTCCTACCTCCCATTCAAAAAGTAGGTAGTATGCAACCCATCAGATTTTGCTATAAGTGTAAATGTTAATGTGGAGCAGTGTCATATGAAGCTGTAATATCACCCTAACCTACCTAATCCCTAACCCCAATCTCAGAACCATTCAAACACAGTGTTGGTAGCATATTCTGACAAGTAGGATAAAATGTCAGGACACTCTCTTTATTTTTTCATTCACTCAATATGACACAATCATAAACTTTCATAAAGCACACAATCTCCCCTTCCTCCAAAAATAATTTACAGCAGTATATAAATATGTACATCTGTCAACAAAACAGAAGCGTAATGCATGGTGTCATGCAACGTTAAGTAACAAAACACTCTGTTAAGTTCATTATTTAAAAAAAAACATAATATAAAGTTAAAGATATCTATAAATGTTAAAGAATTAGTTAACAGGTTGTGATTGTTACACTACAAGGAAAAAAAAAACCACAATTCAGCCAAGTGACCCTTTTAGCTCACTTAATATCAGTCTGTTTTATAAAATAACATAATAAAAGTTCACTGATGAGTGATTTCTCAAGGTCTGCTCCTTTTTAAGACTCCTCTTGTTTTGTGAAAGCCTGCAATAAACATAAACAACGTCACGTACTTTTTCATTAAACTAGGATGATTTGAAGAAGATATTTAAGATGACTTGTAATAATAAGTCACAGACCTGTTTCAGAAACTGCCTTCCGAAGTAATTTGTTGCCATGTTCTTCAGGTTTGTTCGGGCTCCTACTTTACAGCGCACATATCCGTACAGATTAGCTCCCTGTAACACCACACCCAAAATCACCACCGCCTGAAAGAGAAAGCAACGTTACTCACAGACACTCACATATTCAAGACCACATGAGTTCATACACAATCAGATATAAATTGTATTTATTTATAGTAGGGCTGCACGATATTGGAAAAATCTGATATTGCAATACTGTATTTTAGACAGCTAGAATAAAAGCAGTTATTAATTTTTTAAACACCATTTTAAGGACAATATTATAAGACCCTTTAAGCTATATATTTTTTTGATAGTCTCCACAGATCAAACCACTGTTATACAATAACTTGCCTAATTACCCTAACTTGCCTAGTTAACCTAATTAACCTAGTTAAGCCTTTAAATGTCACTTTAAGCTGTTTAGAAGTGTCTTGAAGAATATCTAGTCTAATATTATTTACTGTCATCATGGCAAAGATAAAATAAATCAGTTATTAGAAATGAGTTATTAAAACTATTATGATTAGAAATGTGTTGGAAAAATAATCTCCTCGTCAAACAGAAATTGGGGGAAAATATAAAAAGTGGGGCGAATAATTGTGACTTCATTTTACATTTACATTTAGTCATTTAGCAGACGCTTTTATCCAAAGCGACTTACAAATGAGGACAAGGAAGCAATTTACACAACCAAGAGCAACAATGAATAAGTGCTGTAGGTAAGTTTCAGGTCTGTAAAGTCTAAGAAGGGAAGTATAAGTAGTATTAGTATTTTTTTTTTTTTTTTTTTTTTTGGTACAGTTAGTGTGATATTCAAAGAGGCAATTACAGATTAGGAAGTGTAGTGGAGACTAAATAGTTGAGTTTTTAGTCGTTTCTTGAAAGTAGCGAGTGACTCTGCTGTTCTGATGCAGTTAGGGAGTTCATTCCACCAACTGGGCAGATTGAGCGTGAGCGTTCGCGAAAGTGATTTCTTCCCCCTTTGGGATGGAACCACGAGGCGACGTTCTTTCACAGAAGGCAAGTTTCTGGCGGGCACATAGATCTGCAGAAGCGAGAGCAGATAAGAAGGAGCAAAGCCAGAAGTCGCTTTGTAGGCAAACATCAGAGTTTTGAATTTGATGCGAGCAGCAACTGGCAGCCAGTGCAAACGGACTAGCAGCGGAGTGACATGTGCTCGTTTAGGTTCATTGAAGACCACTCGTGCTGCTGCATTCTGGAGCAGTTGAAGAGGCTTGATAGAGTTAGCTGGAAGCCCAGCTAGTACTTCAACTGTATATATATATATATATATATATATATATATATATATATATATATATATATATATATATATATATATATATATATATATATATATATATATATATCAATTAAATGGTTTCAATAGATGGTCTGAATAGCTCCATTTGACGTTCTTCTGAGGGATCTATCAGTATTCAGGCACAGAAATTGAATTATCACAATGCAAGTTACTCAGCGTTTCTAGTCCAAATATCTAAAGATATAATTTTATTTTAACTTTCAGAAATAATAAGTCAAAATTAACTAGGATTTTTCTTAAACAAGCAAAATAATCTTGTTATAGGGTAAAAATGTAGATATTTGGACAAGTGAAAATACAAAAAAAAAGAAATATTGTAAGAAAAGCGTTTTTTGTAAATGTAAAACAACACTATATAGTCTTCCTTTTTTAAATAATTAAATACAATTAATCTTACACCTCCAAAAGTCGAATCTCTGTGCCCAAATGTTTTAAACTCTTTTAAAATGCTCATACAGTCACAGGACATAAACACATGTAAATAATAAACCTTCACTCTATCATGGTTAAACTTTGCAGTGACTGTTAAAATCCTGTGTTTTGTGGCTCATCTATAATCCAGACTCCACATTGCGACATCAGCGCTGAAATGATGTTGTGCAGCCCTAATTTATAGTTCTGCTGCCTTCACACATGCTATCGGAATGATCATAAATAATGCTGTTAAATTTGAAGCATTTATATATAAAAATAAATATACAGTACACATGCACATTTCATAAAAAATAACGTTTATTTTGTATATGATTGGTCAGGATTCATCTTTAAAAGCATGAATCATAAACACCAGTTTGCAAGTATCTGAAGCCATAATTACTGCTGGTAAAACTCTTGAGGTGAATTAACATAATAATTAATTAATATGTGAATTGGGAGGGACTGAAACTTTAAAAACGATGGAGTTTGCAATAAAAAAATTACTTACCAGCCATTTAATCTTGAAGGAGATGAGTGTAGAGAAAGCAAAGATGACCCAGATGATGGGACAGATGACCAGACCCAGCCAGAAGATACGAGACTCTGAGTTTGAGCTCCGAGATGCTGAAGACTGATTCCCGCTGGCCTGAACACAAGCACATCAATACAGAGAGGATGCAAAATTACACAATGCAAAAAAAAAAAAAGACTAATTACAAATTAAGTCACATATTTAGTTTGCTTAAAGGATTATTTTAAACAGAAATAAGCTGCTTGACAGTTTTTTTAAAAATCCAAATTCAAACCAAAAGTGTTTATGTGTGTGTATGTATATGCATGTATTTAATTACATATGCATATTTTCTGTGATTTCCTATACACATTTAACGTATTGAACTTTTCTTCCTTTACTGAATTAATAATGACTGTTAAGTTGACTTTGTGTTTAAATATTCAATTGAGTCATGTGATCATAATGTACAAATAACTTCCAGACGCACCTGAACTTTTTTACCTTGATGAAGGAAGGTGTGCCGAAATGCGTATGTGCAGTTTTATAGAATAGCCATGTTAATAAAGGCTTTAAACATTTTTCACTTACTTTAAGTGCTTGGACTTGTGTGTGTTTTTTAATATTCATAATTTCTGGATCATCGAGAAAAAAAAAAAAAAAAAAAAAAATTTCACCCCTGCCGTTAGATCATGGCAATTAATGACACTGCAAGTCAAGAAAGAAAAGTGAAATGAAACTCATCCTCGATATTTGCTGCTCTCCATAATAATTCTCTCCTGCTGACATTATTATTGTAGCTGGGTTGCATCTTTGTGTTCAGACACCAATGAAAAAGCAGCTTCACATTCATCTTTATTGAATGAGAGTAAAACTGTACTTGTCATGTGGAATTTACGGGACTAAATTTTGAATCCCGCTCCCGCCCGCACCCGGCAGGTTTTAGCCTCTTACGCCTATATTAAGCATTTGTTGTCCCGCTGCCCGACCCGCCCGGTTTTCTGCCCGGTGTGCCCGATCCCGCTAAAGAGCGGGGGAGAACAAAACCGAAAATCCCCCAGCTTTACAGTCCAGACAGCCAAGCTGTCTGTATAAACACACACACAGCACCAAGCACACACACACAAAGCTCTCTCTCTTTCTCTCTCATGCGCGCGCACTAACACACACACAAGCACCAAGCAGACACACAGGCAAAGCTCTCTCTCTCTCATTCGCGCGCACGAACACTAACATACACACACACACAAGCACCAAGCACACACACAGGCAAAGCTCTCTCTCTCATTCGCATAGCAATATCCGCGATATAGCTAGACAGCCCACTCCCGTCCCAAATTAAACCCGCTGCCGACCGCTCCCGAAATTTATTCGGAAATTTATTCCCGCGCCGCAGAAATCTGGTCGCAGATTACCTGGACCTGGACCAGAGACCACATGGGAAAACTAGGTTGCTGTTCGAAATGGTGCTAGAGAGGCCAGCAGGGGGTGCTCAACCTGTGGTCTGTGTGGGTCCTAATGCCCCAGTATAGTACAGGGGACACTATACTGTCAGTGAGTGCCGTCTTTTGGAAGAGACATTAAGCCGAAGTCCTGACTCGCTGTGGACATCAATAATCCCATGGCACTTCTGGTAAAGAGTAGAGGTGTCCTGGCTGAAGTCCCTCCATCAGCCCTCACCCATCATGGTCTCCCAATCATCCCCATCCACTGAATTGGCTGTATCACTGTCTCTCCACTCCCCCTATAGCTGCTGTGTGGTGAGCGCACTGATGCAGTTGTCCTGTGGCTGTCATTGCATCATGCAAGTGGATGTTGCACACTGGATGTGGTGTGGAGAGACCTCCCTCATGATCGTGAAGCGCTTTGGGTGTATGGCCATACAGGATAAAAGTGCTATATAAATACACATTACATTACTGTAACTTCAGCAGCTCCAGCCATGGAACAAAAGTGGCAATCACATTAATGGAGCAATTTTTCATGTGCTGCATCAAAACAAAAAATAGAGCACAAGGCGTTTCTTTAAAAATATCTTTTTTTTTAATTTTTTTACGCCTGCTGTTTTGCAAGTTGGTGTGCAGGATCCCATAGGTGCCCTTTGATTTGTTAAATGTTGGCAAAATCCAGAGTGAAAAAGTGGCTTGGTGTGCACTGGCCTTAACTCTATTTTGTATTATTAGTTTAAATTTAGCACTGATGAGCAGAATAAATAAAACATCAATCAAATTTGACTGAAAGTAGATATGCATTTTAAAAATCTCAGTCAACGCAGAATTGATTCATCGAATGGCATGGCATGTAGATCATTGATAGAGAGTGTTCTCACACATAATATTGTTTCATGGTTTGGTAACACAACACTTAAACAGAAGAAGAAATTATCAATCAGGCAAATAATATAACTGGTCATAAACAACATTCACTGAAGATTCTATTTGACTACTTTATGAAAAAAAATCGGATCAGTGACTACGTTTACATGGACACCAATCATTCGATTTTAATGCGATTAACACAATACTCTGATTAAGAATCCAACATGTAAACAGCGATTTTTGATTCGTTTAATCAGATTAAGGTCATAATCAAACTAAAGAGAAATCTAATTAAGACGTGTGGAGTATGCCGATTTTAGTCGCATTATTAAAGTGCATTACTGACATGTAAACACCTGTTACGCAAGAGCGTATTGGGTTGTTTCTGTGCCGCTGTGTGTGCGTGTCTCTCTGGCTGTTTCTCAATTCCAAGAACGCAGAGAATGGACTTGCGTTCTTGTAGAGTGCGGTCTTGCCAGGTGTCCTCGGAAGAACGAACTCAGGAGACCGCGAGGGCAGAGAACGCGTCCTTTGAGAAATGGGATGCTGCGTTCTTCCTGATGGTCATGTGACCTTCACGCGTTTTAAATGGAAATTATTTAAACATTACAGCACTCCATACAATGATTTATTGTTTCCCCCCTCTTCAAAATATATACTTTGCATAAAAACATTATAAATATACTCTGCACAATATAAATAAAACAAATTTTAATACGAATTTCATCAAACAAACACCCTTAATGTGTTTATTCCTTTATTAAGATATTCATGTTAATGTTTACTTTCACCGTTTCATTTAGGGAAACTCCTGAGGTAAATAAGTAATATATCTGAACTTTAATAATAAATCTAAATAAAATGCTGCACTTCCCACCTCCAGTCGCAATGACTTCTGGGACTTCCAGAGCGAGCTCGCTGCTGAAGTCTGCATCGGTGCGTCCTCGATATCAAGAACACATCCGGGAAGTTTCACGCGTCCTCCGTACTTGCGGTCTTGAGTATTGGAACTGAACTTAGGCAGCTGATGATGACGTTGCACGAGAACACGAGGACGCAAGACCGCTGAAGAACGCATATTGAGAAACAGCCTCTTTTTCTCTCTCTCGTCCTATCCCGTTCCTGTTTCCAGGTTGCCCCGCCCTAATTGGACGTGCTGCGTGCGTGCGCTGTGGTTGGTGCTGGGAGAAGTCAGCATCTTTTGAAAAGGAACCGACGGAGTCAGATTGCTGGGGGGAGAGACGGAGAGCTTTTCTAAGAGTGTGGCGTTTGTGTGGAAAACATATCATAGTGCTTTTTTTCTGGTTGTTTATAAATTGTGAACATTAAGGTGTTCTCTCCCTTTTTCCTCTCCCCTCCATTTTTTTTGTGACTGTCAAATACCCTGTTTGATAAAGCTGTGAGCTGAGCGCCGTAGGGGCTGAGTGCCATTTACTTTGACACTGATTTTCTCCTGTTTTTCGTTTAGTTAAGGAGTAAGGCTAGTGTTTGTAAATTATTTTCTTCATTTATTTTTGATTCAGTAGGTAAGTTATCTTCGGGGTGGAGTTAGTAAATGTTTTATTTGTTATTTTGGCCTTGCTCAGCCCTGAAGCTTTTTGTTTGCGCTCATTTATTTGTTTATTGTAAAAATAAACCTTTTCCACCTTCTCACAATAAAAGAACCTTAAAGGTCATTTAAAAATCAAACCTGCTAACTGTTTATTCATTTTCTCTTTAATTTTCATGTTCGACTTCAGCCCTAGACATTTTGGGGTCGTAACACACCTTAATTGAATTATTACCGTCATGTAGGGCTTTTCGCCACGTTTTGCGACAGGATAGTCACACACACACACAAACACACGACTGTTTAACACTCTTTGCACCTACCGAGTCAGTAAAGACCACAGACACCTGCCTCGTGAAATGCGGAGGGTTTTTTTTCTTCCATTAAGCCTGCGGTTTGAACTTCCGTTAAAACAACAGTCCTCCAGCAATTCATAATTGCATCCAATATCTAGTTTGTCACGGGGGGCATGGCCGAATGAAAGGGAAAGTGCCAAACCGCAGTTAAAGTTGACAAATTAATAATGAACCACCCGAAATTACATGAAACTCCGGTGGAAATGTGAATAGCGCGGTGACACAATGACGTTAATCTTAGTATGTGCTATAACATGTAAAACGGGATCATGAAAGAAACATTCAAAAAGCAGCTCACGTAAACACCTTAATCTTATTATTGTCCTAATTAGATCAAGGCAAATAACTCTATTATTGATGTCCATGTAAACGTGGTCAATGTTTGAAGTGAACGCGGGGGTTGTCAAGAATGATCTGCAGTAATATGTTTGGGGCTAATTTGGTTTTTAAATGTTTAACTAATGTTGTTGTCTTGATGAGTGTTGTTATTATGTGATTGTTGCATGTATGCAATTGTTGTCTTAAAACCAGTGTTAAAGACAAATGTCCTTTCTGTGCCAAGAAGAATGGACAATAAAGTTTAAACTAAACTAAATGACTTTCTGACCGCTCTAATATTTGACATGCAAAACTAAAGTAATTAAACCAAACCCTCAAAAAAACGAAAAAAAAAAAAAAAACCCAGCCCTGCAGTGTTAAAGTACCTTTCTGGACTCAAACACCCAGTGACTTTTTCCATCATCGTCCACCTGATTCCACCAGCGCAAACCCACCATCAGACGGCCAGTGATGTTCTAGAAAACAAACAAACATATATGCAGGACAAGGACATATTCAAGTATGAGTGAAAGATTCACTCAGCAAACACCACTGTGATGATAAAGGAATAATGTCTCATCGTTTATTCTTAAGTACCAACCTTCACAGTCCAGAAGTCACATGACAGCAGGAGGATGATGGTCACCATGCAGGCAATGAAGCTTCCGCCCACTAAACCACACAGCAGGTAGACCAGAATGGCACTGACCCGGAAAAACAGATGGAAGAAGGACGCCACCGGATGCCTGCATTTACACACACTTTTTTTACCATCCTAGCCAGAACATTGCATAGATTTTGACTGTTTTTCTATTGGCTTAAAGGTCCCATGAAATTAAAATAAAGTTTATTTCAGATGTTAGTATCAGTCTGTTAGGCTGCATTTACACTGCAGATCTTGATGGTCAATTTCGATTTTGTGACTGTATCTGATTTTTTTGCAAATTTACATTGGCAAAGGCGCCATGACCAGAAAAAAAAAAAAAAAAAGGGTGGGCACTGACTAACAGCTGATAATTAAAGAGTGCTCTCTTCTCTATTCCTGTATGTAATCTGTTCTCAGCTTTTGACAAGCTGTTTTACTATAGTTTATGACACAAATGTTCTCATTTGTCCATCTTCTTTTGATATAAAGGCTTTTTTAAACCTTTAGGCATTATAATGTAATGTCCATGGCGTGATTTATGCATGTGATGTAGCTATGCACTAGTTTTATATTAGTTTATATTGGTTACGTGGCGGACATTGCGCTCTCTCGCTCTCGTTAACAGGCTTAAATACCTGTGCTATATGACAATATAAAAGATGTTTTAGCCCTCGTGTATGAGATTTAAGGTTTGGGACTCTGCTGAAGTCTGTTCTGAAAGGAAAGTGTCAGACTTGACGTCATTCGCTATTGTTTTTAATGATGCACGACTCACATTGACAGATGAAAATCCGATCTACCTGCTTACACTGCAGACACGACTTCACAGATCCAATATCGCATAAATTTCCACATATGAACAAGGCCTGAATCGGATTTGAGTAAATCGGAATCCATGTGATTTGTTCCTGCTTACACGTACATGGGCCATATCCCATCTGTGCCACATGGGAGACAAAAAAAATAAAATAAAATAAAAAATTCGGAATTGAGTCACTTAAACAGTGCAGGGAAATGCGGCCTTAGTCTTAAGAATATCTTTTAACTAGTGTGCTCCAAAATAGTGACTAAATTCACATTTAGAAGAAATAAACATCCACAGCTTGCAGTTTGCCATTTCCGCCTAAATGGATACATTTTTATACTTCAGTTTCTCATCAAATCTTCTGACCAATGAAATGCTTTTTAGTATCTGACATGCCCCACCCCCTTTAAGACTCTTGAGTTATATGTGCTCAACCACTCTCACTGGCAGAGCTGTGATAAAAAAAATAACACTATTGACTGTCTTTGTTAAATAGGGAGGAGCTACTCTACACCCCACCCTCTCTTTAAGTTTCAGTTAAAATTACATCAAACATTGAATACAAAAATGCACATTTCAAAGCATTTCACGGGACCTTTAAAGCTATTTTCATAACCTTACCACAAAACAGATCAAAGAAACATGTGCCAATCATTAGACACAAATAAAAGAACATGTTCTGGCTTTTTTTAACTAGTGAGGACCACTAAAATATCAACCAGTAATGTGTCGTCATGATATTTTCACTGTTCAGTAGAGGGCATTTGTATTCACAACAAGTAGAGCTAAACTTCTACTGTAATAATTACTATAGACATAAAACAAATCCATAGATTTGATGAAAACATGCTGGATTTGAGAATGATTTTAGAATTATTGTAGCAAGGCATTTGTAGGCTGTAGAGAAAAAAACACATTTTAAGAGGCTGAAGTTTTTTTTTTTTAAGTCTAATGTAAAGACAGCATTCAAAATACACATTTTATTGCAATTCATCAGTTTGTGTTTAGATGCAATGAAGAAAGCTCCACTTCAGCAGCACTTAAATACATTAAACTACATCTATATTAGTCCAAAATAATACAGAAAATAAAATAAACAAATATAAAAGAATTCGATCACTTTATAAGTACAGTTCAAACCAATAACCAAGACTCTTAGCTCAATAAACTACTAATTTCTTTTATCACATTTTACCTGTTTTTGTGTCTGTTTGTTTTTTTTACTCATTTTTATTATTTGTTTTTATTTTTATTTTACTTGTTTCTTTTATTCTTGTTTATGTAAAGCACTTTGAATTGCCACTGTGTATGAAATGTGCTATATAAATAAACTTGCCTTGCCTTAATTAACTGCTTATTAATAGTTTGTAAGGAAGTAGTTGGATTTAGGTATTTAATTAGTTCTATTTAGGATTTAGTTAGGATTTAAATTGTATAATAAGATGCTTTATAAGTGCTAATAAACAGTAGTAGCAAGTAGTATAAACTGTTGCAGTATAAACAGTTGCAGCTCATCCAGAATGCTGCGGCCAGGATTCTGACCAGAAGCAGAAAATCAGAGCACATCACACGGGTCCTCAGGTCTCTACACTGGCTCCCAGTTACATTCAGAATAGATTTTAAAGTATTATTACTGGTCTATAAATCACTAAACGACCTAGGACCTCAATACATTACATAAACGCTGACTGAATACAAACCCAACAGATCACTCAGATCTTTAGGATCATATAAACTAGAAATTCCAAGAGTTCAGTCAAAGCAGGGTGAATCAGCTTTTAGCTACTAACAGCGCCCCCTACTGCTGAAATCAGCTTCCAGAAATGATCAGATGTGCTCCAACATTATACTTATTCAAATCAAGACTGAAAACACATCTGTTTAGCTGTGCCTTTACTGAATGAGCACTGTGCTGTCTCACAGATAGGGTTGTAACGGTATGAATTTTTCACGGTATGATAATCGTCTAAAACAATACCACGGTTTGACGGTTTCGCGGTATACGGTATGTTACAAATGTTACAAAAAAAATAGAACAGTGAAGCAAATTTGACTTTTTCCAAATAATATATTTTTAGTTACTATAAACAACACCACTTACAATGAACAAATAAAAATAAGAAAATAATAAATAATGTGTCAAAGTCCAAATAAAGTCCAAATAAACATGGTGCAAATCCTCAGTAAAAAATAGATATAAATATGTACTATACTATAAATAGTTACATAACGAAACTAGATTCAATATGGAACATCCTTAGGTTTTATGTGCCAGCATGGATATGGTTGTCTATCGATATGGATTTGGAAACAGCTGCATCTTCATTTGCGTCTTTTGAAAACAGCAAGAGCAGCAGTTCGTCTTTGCTGTGTCACTGTTTTGTCATGTTTCTGTGCTGCTCTGCATGCAAAAGTACTTAGTATGAGAATTATTTCATGCAAAACTTTTTTTTTTTGCGTTTTATTTAGCCGCGCATAAATGTATGCCTATCTCTCATTCCGTGTTGTTCAAAAAGCTTGGTCCACAAACAAAAGCGAAACCTATGCTTATTGGTTGTGATATAGCGAGTTTGAACCAATCTGGGCATGGAGGAGGGACAATGCATCAATGTATCATGTCTGGTTTGTCCGGAGACACAGTGACGAGCGTTTCTTTGTCAAATCAGCGTTGTCAAATGTTGATGACGTAACCGCACTGATTCCGGAGCCTCTGAAAGTCCGAATGTTATGTGATACAGCACTAGGAAGCTGAGATTCTCTTCTTTATGCCAATCTTTGAATTGTATGAATCGGATCAGCGGATCAAAAGTTATTAAACATTTAAGAGCAATACTTATTTTTAGCCGCGGGCGGCTGTCTCGGTCTTTAAGGGTTAAAACCGTTGATATGCAATTGTTCATGGTATGATAATCGTGCACGTTCAAATCGTGGTAAACCGTCATACCGGTATATTGTTACAACCCTACTCACAGATCAATAGAGGTAAAGTTGGTTTTATATCCGCACATCCAGACTTTCCCCTTAATAATATAATTTCATAAAAGTATTATTTGCAAACTCTAAATAGCAAAATCATATTAGCAGCCAATGACTATCAAAGTACAACATTGTTCACAGTCAATTTAATAGTGTTAATGTTGTCACACATTAAGTCACAATTCAAGTCACACTTGCATGCTAACTCCGATCGAATATTCAAAGTAACATGGTAAACAATATAGAGACTTCTAAATGAACGAATGTGCAACTATAAAACCAACTTTACCTCTATCACAGATCACACTATTATGCCTTTCTTTTTCATTCTTTTAAAACCTGTTTAACACATTTTAATCTGTTTTAATCACTTTTATTATTTGTTATTATGTTCTTATACTTGTTTCTTTAATTCCTGTTTGTGTAAAGCACTTTGAGTTGCCATTGTGTATGAAATGTGCTATATAAATAAACCCGCATTGCCTTTATAACACAAAACATTATTTGCTTTATGTGTCAAGGACGTAGCTAAAAATGTGCAGTATTATTCCAGAAGAATTACTATAGAATCAAGTGGAAACCCTCTTCATGAAGCACAGGTCACACACAAACATTAGTTCTGTAAGTTACAATCTAAAATGTATTAAATTATAAACAATTAAATGAGGACACACTTGATTTTGTTCTTTCTGGTGGCTGAATCCTCCTCAGCGTCAAATAAAGACACGTCGTCATCATCGTTTGACTCCTGAATAACACAAGAACAGATGTCAGAAGTCTGTTTCATAAATATGATTTAATAATAATCATAAACACGTATGAAAGCGAACTGTAATAGTTGTTTACATTCAGGCAAAGCTCAACCAGCTATATTCGTTGTTTATTAAAGCCGTTCACATCTTAAAACTCTTACAAGAGGAACGCAGATATGCTATAAACATAGTTTATGTTTAAAATATAATTATAATAATCAAATAGCATATTTTTACACTCACCCGCCTCATTATTACTGCGCTCTTGCTGCTGCTTATAATATGCGACACGTCACTTCCGGGTTTGCTAAAGCTGTCTGCATAGCGCCTGAGCAGAAAACATACAGTACATCATTACTAATATATCTTATCTATTACACAATACACATATACGCTCACGATAGATATAATGAACGATAAATAATATGAACTGTAATAATATAATTAACAATATATTCGCTGTATTCATCATTTACACTCCGGTCACTTTATTAGGTACACCTTACCAGTAACGGGTTGGACCCCTCTTTTGCCTTCAGAACCACATTAATCCTACGTGGAGTAGATTCAACAAGACACTGGAAATATTCCTCAGAGATTTTGCTCCATATTGACATGATAGCATCACGCAGTTGCTGCAGATTTGTTGGCTGCACATCCGTGATTGCCAATCTCCCGTTCCACCACATCCCAAAGCTGCTCTATTGGATTGAGCTCTGGGGACTGTGGAGGCCATTTGATTACAGTGAACTTATCGTCATGTTCAAGAAACCAGTCTGAGATGATTCACGCTTTATGACATGGTGCGTTATCCTGCTGGAAGTAGCCATCAGAAGATGGAGACACTGTGCTCATAAAGGGATGGACATGGTCAGCAGCAATACTCAGGCGTTGTGGCGTTGACACGATGCTCCATTGGTACTAATGGACCCAAAGTGTGCCAAGAAAATCTCTCCCACACATTACACCACCACCACCAGCCTGAACCGCTGATACAAGGCAGGATGGATCCATGCTTTCATGTTGTTGATGCCAAATTCTGACCCGACCATCCGAATGTGTCAGCAGAAATAGAGACTCATCAGAGCAGGCAACGTTTCTCCAATCTTCTATTGTCCAGTTTTGGTGAGTCTGTGTGAATTGTAGCCTCAGTTTCCTGTTCTTAGCTGACAGGAGCGGCACCCGGTGTGCTCTTCTGCTGCTGTAGCCCATCCGCCTCAAGGTTGGACGTGTTGTGTGTTCAGAGACGTGTTGTGTGTTCAGCTCTTCTGCAGAGCTCGGTTGTAACGAGTGCTTATTTGAGTTACTGTTGCCTTTCTATCAGCTGGAACCAGTCTGGCCATTCTCCTCTGACCTCTGGCTTCAACAAGGCATTTGCGCCCACAGAACTGCCGCTCACTGGATATTTCCTCTTTTTCAGACCATTCTCTGTAGACCCTAAAGATGTTTGTGCATGAAAATCATAGTAGATCAGCAGTTTCTGAAATACTAAGAGCAGCCCGTCTGGCACCAAAAACCATGCCACGTTAAAGTCACTTAAATCCCCTTTCTTCCCCATTCTGATGCTTGGTTTGAACTGCAGCAGATCATCTTGATCATGTCTACATGCCTAAGTGCATCGAGTTGCTACCATGTGATTGGCTGATTAGAAATTTGCGTTAACGAGCAGTTAGACAGGTGTACCTAATAAAATGGCCGTTATTATTTTAATACCAAATGTTCTCAAACACCTTTTATTTTATCTTTTTATGTATACATTTTTAATTATAATTCCCTTTCTACCACTGTGTAATTATTTTAATAATTGCAATTATCAATATCAACATTTGTGAATTATGTATTATCTCAAAACTTAAAAAAAATTGTATTTGTCACTAAAGTATATTATATTATAAATGTATATTTCCCAATTTTCTCTTGCAAAAAAAAAAAAAACTTTCTTCCTGTTCCATTAAATATAATGTAAAACAGCAGAACAAACAGAATTATAATATCCTCAGGCTTTGCAGACTTGTGGAACCGGTTTTGTCAAACTTTAACAAAAAATGTGAACAAACACCAGCATTTCACTGCAGCAATGGTTTATTTGCAAAGTAACTCACAAACCATAAAGGATCATAAAGTGTAACACAAGCAGGCAAACAGACTTGAAGAGTCACTATAGAGTCATCATGCAGTATCTGCTGTTAAATCTGACCAAACCCTTGTGAAATGTACAATAGACCAAACTACGTCAGATGGGTTTGGTCACTTGTGCAACAGTTCTGAAGACCAGAAACTTCTGTCTTACGTATTTTATCATATAAAAAAGGTGTATATACACTCAAAATCATTAGCCCTCCCTCCTGTGATTATTATTTTCCAAACATTTTTAGCAAGAACATTTTCACAGTATTTCCTATAACATTTTTTCTTCTGGAGAAAGTTTTATTTGTTTAATTTCAGCTAGATTAAAAGCGTTTTTAAGTTTTTTAAAACCATGTTAAGGTCAATATTATTAGCCCCCTACGCTATATTGGTTTTGGATTGTCTCCAGACCAAACCACTGTTATACAATGACTTGCCTAATTACCATAACGTTACCCTAATTAACCTAGTGAAGCCTTTAAATGTCACTTTAAGCTGAATACTAGTGTCTTGAAGAATATCTAGTCAAAAATTATTTGCTGTCATCCTGGCGAAAATCATATAAATCAGTTATTAAAGATGAGTTATTGAAACTATTATGATTAGAAATGTGCTGGAATAAAATCTGTTAAACAGAAATTGGGGAATAAAATATACAGGAAGGCTAATAATGCTGACTTCAACTGTATGCAGGGCTTGACATTAACACCCGCCAAACGCAGGTAGATTTCAGCGGTGGCGGGTAAGACAGGCACTCCCACTAGCCACTTTGCCTGGTTGTAAATAATTTTCCCTGAATAACTGAACGCAGGCTTCGACAATAAGGATGGTCCAATATGCATGCAAAGACGATCTTAGAATTGAGAAGCAACATGACTGAAAAATAGAATTGCGTTTGCGCGAATACCGAATGAGACGATAATCACTCGCGCTAACAGCTGAGGTGACGCACGCTCCTGTTTCCTTACGTGCAGCAACTTGGCCTAGAAACACAACTGATGTGATGATCGGTTCTCTTTCAAATAGACTAGACTAAAAGTGATGAACATGCACCCACAGTCTTGCTGCTTTCAAGAGCTCCAGATTTTTCTTTTTAAAAAGCAGCACCGGTTGCTTTCTCTTTAACCATTATTTGAACAGATAATTTATAGATCTTACATTAACCCTGTGTGTGTGTGATCATCCTTTCATTATCACACGGTATGTTTTTCACCAGCTTTTCTTTTGTGTTAATATGGTTTAATTATCACTTTTCACAATAACATTGCTTTAATGAGAGATTAACTCCCCGTTTATGTGTAGTTAACTGCTGATCTGGGACCTTTAGCCAGAACAGATTACTGTGCATATGTTTTGGTATATAAAAACTATGGTATACAGCTATATTTAGCATGTTTGACGCATAAAAAATTTGTGGCTAAGAAATAATTGTTTATGTTTGGGTAATTTTGCTTAATTATTAATAATGCTTAATTTTGAGCTCATTCATTTTCTTGTCGGCTTAGTCCCTTTATTAATCCGGGGTCACCACAGCGGGATGAACCGCCAACTTATCCAGCAAGTTTTTACGCAGCGGATGCCCTTCCAGCCGCAACCCATCTCTGGGAAACATCCACATACACACATTCACACACACACACACACTCATACACCACGGACAATTTGGCCTACCCAATTCACCTGTACCGCATGTCTTTGGACTGTGGGGGAAACCGGAGCACCCGGAGGAAACCCACGCGAACGCAGGGAGAACATGCAAACTCCACACAGAAACGCCAACTGAGCCGAGGCTGGAATCAGCAACCCAACAACCTTCTTGCTGTGAGGCGACCATACAGCCTACTGCGCCACTACGTCGCCGCCCTGTCTGTATGTATAAGTTTAAATATGTCTGAAAACATGGCATACTCTAAATGGCAACATTTTTATTTTAAATGATATACATAGCATCATATATTTAAGCCACATGCTAAAACAGAACAGTCATGATACTTTGATATCCGTCACAGCACTTATTATCGAATTATACAACATATATGTAAAGGCATTTCAACAGGCATCAATCAATCAAGTGCACTCTAGCAGTCATAACACTTTAACATCAGTCATAGGTTACATCTTTTATAGTCTCATCATAGACATATCAGCATTAAAAAATAGCAACTTTTCATTTTCTATCAAAACTCAGCTGTCTAACTATAAATATACACAAGAAAAAAAGAAGACAAGCTTGAATAATTACAGCGAGGTATGAAGAACGGACCCCAGGACTACAGATCAAACCCAGATGTAAACAGGACCGCAAAACATGGAAATGATATGGATACATCCAGCTACGATTATTTAGTGGAAGCATCAGGAGATGGAGATGGAGAAGACAGAGGAGACGCAGCTCCAGGCTCCAGCAGCACCACGTTCTCCTTCTTGGGGAGCCAGAAAGCAGGATAAAGCGGCTCCAGAAACTCTGCCTGGTACTTGTGGATGAGCGTCATCCCATTCTCCACGTCATAGAAAGCCAGAAGGCCTCCAGAATAGTCCACGTAGATGCCGATGTGGGTGGTTTTGGGGCAGCTGAGTGGCGTCTCCACATCGCTGTGCCAGGCGGAGAAGCTGCGGCCGTTCCACTGCAAACACCAGGAGAAGTTGTTTCCAGCGATGCAGCTGTTGCTCTGTGAGCCCTTGCGATCGATGCTCTTGTAGGTCAGACCCACATGTGTCCCTTCACCCTTCATGTCCACCTCGAAGTAGTGGCGTCCCAGGTAGAAGCTCTCCTGCGTCAGCACCTGCTTGAAGTCCTGGAAGCGCTCTGGGAGATCTGGATAGCTGTGCTGCCATGGTGTGGTGTTGGTCACCTTCTTACACTCTTCTGTCAGACGCAGAAACACATGCGCCGTATTGGCATCCAGAGACAGAGGAGTGACGTCTGTGGGGGGGGGACATTACAGAGTTAATGAAATGAAATAAGTTATTTTATGCTGAAATGGAAACCTACAAACCCACGGAGGAAACCCACGCCAACATGGGGAGAACACGCAAACTCCACAAAGAAATGACAACTGGCCCAGCCGGGACTCGAACCAGCGACCTTCTTGCTGTAAGACCACAGTGCTAACCACTAAGCTACCATTACGTTTAAATGTGCTTTAGAATAAATGTTTTATTTTATTTCAGTTGATATCTATTCCATTTAAAGCATCAGAAATGATTTGGTTTACATTAGGGATGCCACTCAATATAATATTGAACCGTACGGTACGACCTCAGCTGAATTGCGGATTTCTCGGTTTAGTGTTTAAAGGGCCATGAAACCGCCTCGTTTCAGCAGGGTGTTTTCACACCTCTACTTTGGAAAAAGTCAGAAAAGTGGGCGTGTCCAGCTCTGTTTAGGGGGGAGTGTCGGAGGAAGAAAAGAGGCGTGGTGTAGGAGTGTCTATTTGGGCGCGTTGACTTTCAGAGTCAACACACATACACACACATACACACACACACACACACACACACACACACACACACACACACACACACACACACACACACACGGGAGAAAGTGACTGTGTTTACATGGACATCTGTAGTCGAATTATTTGCCAAATTATTAAATGGTGGACTTTAACTGCAGTTTGGCTCTTTCATTCAGGGAATTCATTCATGTCCCTCGCGACAAACGAGATATTTGATTCGAGGAGCTGCTGTAAGCGTGTATTTTTCATGCAATGTTTGATACCGCACGGCGAATGAGAGAAAAAAACCCTCCGCATTTCCCGGAAACTTAGATGCACACGGCAGGTAGTGTCAGAAAGCCGCGTGTGTTATTACGGTCTCAAACTGTGGTGAAAATCCTACACAAGGTTAAAGTTTGGTTGTGGTGCTAACATGTTTACACTCAGTGCAATAGTTAACTTAGTTCGATACGAACAAACTGAATAAACAAAGAGCACTGGTCGCTCACTTACCAAATCTGTAGAGACAGGACAATCACCAGCAACTAGAGCCGCGTCTTTATTAAGAGGAGACTACAAGCGAATCCGGATCTCAGCGTTTGCAGATGAGAACAGCTCTCAGGTAAACAATAATCCTCCTTAGACACGTAAGTTATTGTGGTCGAGCGTCGCGTACACTGTTAATCCACACGTGACTCCAGCTGAGCTCTCACAGAGAGAAAATGAAAACAAAACTTCACTGCAGCAAACTATAAAAGCAACACTTCACGCTTGTTTTGCCAATACAACGTGGCGTCTCTATGTCTAAACACTGTGACAGTAATGAATATTAATGAAGTTGCACAATAGAGCGCGCTGATTGGTTTGAACCAAGCTTTACTCATGCATTAATGCAGCACACTGTAAGACGTAATAAGACTCACTCTGGCACAGACGTCCAGTCTGCACGCTGGAATACACGCTATTATGTCATGACCGTGACGCAGCTTCAAAAATTAGTTTCAAACCGGAAGTACGAATTTGCTTGAAATAACGCAAAAACAACCAATTTACACTTTTTAGTGAAATATAGGTGTCCTAATAGTGTTTTTAGCAGTGTGGGACACATATACCACTGTCAACAGCTCAACACATGTGTTTTGGTGTTTCGTGACCCTTTAAATAATTTATGCGCGTTTCATATCTCCCCGAATTGACTGTGTGTGCCTGTAAGTCCATGAGCTGAGACAAGAAAATCCTCCCTATGAGTAAATATCCAATCACTATGCTCTAAAGTTCAGGGGCGCTTGACCATCATTCCACACTTTAACATGGCGAGCGGCGGTGAAGTGAGGCTGAGGCAACAGTACAAGAAAGCGCCGGCGTCTTTCAAATCTGCGGTGTGAGGACATTTCAGTTTTGCCGGTAAGTATAATGCCAATAAAAAAAAAAAAAAACGTGAACGAAAAATAACTGTGTGCAAGCGTTGATTTACACGTGTAACCATGACTGCACATCTGCAGCGCCATCACTCAGCAATATTACTGTCTGAAGGCAGGATAGCAGAGAAGCTAATAAAGTCCTCCAAATACACTGTAAAAAATGGCTGTGGTTTCAACGGTAAAAAACAGTAAAAATGCTACAGTACAAATCCATAACCTGGTTAACGGTATGTTTCCTTAACATATACGGCGATATACGTAAATTGACTTTCCCAGAATTCCCTGCATGGCACATAACTTTTTATGCATTTGGTTGACATTGATATGGATCTTTTTAGTTGTTTCCCCATCAGTTATGTACATTAGAGATTTATGTTACATCTAATGTTGATAAACAATGTTTATTTCATGATTTTAACTTTATCTGTGTTACCATACTGGTGTTTATTAGCTGTGTGAATGACACCGAGCACCTTCTATATGCTGATACTCTTTTCTGTCTAACTGTGAAACAAAACGTGTGTAGATGTTGATCATTCAAAATACAGACATATTACCTCGATAAATTAATAAAATACGGTAATTTACCGTTGAAATGAAAAATTACTTTTATGGTTTGTACCGTGGTTTTAACGGTAAAGTACTGGCAACCACAGCAGCCGTTTTTTACAGTAAATTTTACGGATTTATTTTTTTACAGTGTAGCAACAATCCCTCGCTGAATCTTTCCAGAAAACATACCCCAGTGGTTCTGAGAGACACATAAAAATAACAAAGGCAGTGCGGGTGTTCATTGCTGAATTTGCAGCCGTTTTTGGTGATTGTAGATGTGGGCTTTTGTCATTTTATAAAAGCACTCGATCTGCGTTACAGACTACAGCCTCGCATTTTTTCAGCACCGAGATAATTAAGATGGTTTATTTCTGTTTACTGTAGTACAAAGATGTTTCTTTGAAATGGCCAAATTATCTTTATTAACTTCACATGTGTGTTTATTTTCATAGTGTAGGATTTTATGTTCCCCAGTTTGTACATGGGCTACCAGCAGCTGTGAGATTTCAGTGTTTTTTTTTTATACAATACACTAGGAACTAGTGTACTTTTGCAAAACAAAACGAGTATTGCAATAAATTGTTTGTATTTTTTTCTCAACCTCTTACTTAGAGCTGCACAATTAATCGTAAAAAGATCGCGATCTCGATTCGACCACCTAGACGATCTTAATCCAGCATTTCTACGATTCTGTCAATCATATTTTCAAGTTCAGGAGAGAAGCAATGGTGGCCGCACAAGTCTTCACATTTTTTACATACATTGTTCAGCAGCGTGGACACCTCCAAATGGTGTTGAAAGAGTCACATGCTGTATTTACAAGATATAATTCACCTCAAAAACGTCATTTCTGTCTTCATTTTATGATGTATTTGCGACCGCAAAATCACACGTGACGTGAGCTGACCGTCAGCTGTTACCACAGAGAGGGCGGGCGCGCGCGCCTCTGAATGAAGTCTACTTTAGTGAACAGAACCTGCATAGGCTGTGAATAACAGCTAATTAAGTTTTAAATAACGTTCAGTTTGTGGCACAGAGTGATCTTTTGGGAGCCGCGCGGGAAGTGAACCGCTCTTAGCAGTGAAAATAAAACCGAAACTGTAGCTGACTGATTCCAGCCCCAAAAGTATCCAAAACCCGCCAAATTGCAAAAATACCCACCCAGTCTTCTGTATTCACGAAAATCACGTCAGTGACAGATTTTAAACAGGCAATTACAGATTGTAAGCATACGTCTCAAACGCAATAACTTAACATCAGAATTCTCATTAGCATTAATGACCAGGACAAATCTAAAGTCTGTTCAAGTTCACCATTCAAGTCTATACAAAATTTAGCATTTTAACCAGCAGTACAGCTACACAAAGCATATTGCTGTTTCACCACATGTTTGAGAATAACAATAATAATAGCCCATGCACTCATAACCTTTATTTTACATCTACAGAATCTAGAGGTGTGAACCTATACTGATCTCACGGTTCGGTTCAGTTACGATTATTATGCCTTCGATTCGGTTCAATTTGATATCTCGGTGCATTGACGATGCTTTCCATAGACAGTATTATATTTTAGGGGGGTGGCTAAAACAAACTGTCTGTATAAACACACAGACACACAGCACCACACTGTCTCTCATTCAAACACATACACAAACATAGACAGCACCAAACAAACAAACAAACAAACACACACACACACACACACACACACACACTTAAGCCCTCGCAACAGGAAGAGCTCGCACTGAGCGGAGCAGAAAAACGAAAAAAAGCAGCACTTGTCAAAAAACACGTGTCAAGCCATGAGAACCGAACCGAAAACCCTGTTACAAAAAAAAAAAAAAAAAAAAAAAAAAAATCGAGGTATGTATTGAACCGTGAGCTAACTGTATTGTTGCATCCCTACTTTAAATGAATACTTAAAACACAGATGAACACTTACACTGTAGGAAGTCGTCTCTGGTTTTGGGGTCTGGAAGCATCATGTTCTTCTTTGCCGCCATAACAGCAAAAACCGTCGTCTTAATGCCCACGTTATCTGTGATCATCAAAAGAAGACTGAGTAAATTAGCAACTAAAAATGTTACTGCATGCTTAAATGTATTTCCAGATGAGTGTCTCTGTGTGGAGATGCTGATTGTTGCGCAGACTGACCGTTCTTACAGGTGTCTTTGAGTTTGTTGGTGTACGAGCTGTGCAGATTATCACACATCCTATTCGTGGAGCGAACGATCACGTGACTGAACGCCTGCAGTCGATCCACGAGGCCGATATAAACCCCAGGCAAAGACACGTCCACTGCCTCCTTCTTCCACTCTGAATACTCCTGGAAAACACAATGTTGATAATACTAGTACTAAAAAAAAGCTAACTAAAATGTTATTAGAGATTATTTAGGTTTAGAACCTTTTAGTAGAACCTTTTTAATGATCTAGGCACAAAGTCTAAAGCTCATGGCGATCTAGGCACAAAGTCTAAAGCTCATGGTGCAAAAGCATTAAGGGCGTGTCTGAATCCACTTTTGCTTTTTTAAGGACGGAAACATACGTTCTGTGCCATGTGGCATGGTATAACGGGGTTGTGCTTGTTCTCTTCATGAGTTCTGGTTGGGTTTTGTGCATAATGTATATCTTCCATTCAGAATCATTTGACATGCGCTATGGAGCACTTGCTATTTACATGGAGGACTTTGTAAGTGTAAACACAATGTTTCACTAGCGAGAAAACAGTTAAACAGAGAATCTGCAGCGCGAGGATAAAGAATGAGCCTCCTCCATTCAACCTCTTTACTTTACTCCTTTACTTTGGTGGAGTAGGGAAACTGTGGAAACTCACTCCACTGAAGACATATTAGCCTACATATTGAATTTCCTTTGTTAAGCGCATAACTAACGTGCTTTGCGTTGAATTTTAAAGCAGTTTTTAACTGGTCAATGGCGTCATCTATTTCAGGACCTCAAAATAGCAAGGTGCCAACAATGCGCCTTAACACACATCCTTTATAGAGCGGATCATTCCCTAGTCCACAAATGGATTTGCCATTTAACAAAACGTAAAAACCTGCGCCCGTATGAAAATAGCAACAAATCACGCACATGCCTGATGCGCCAGGTGTTATTTATGTACAAGTTTTTTTATTTTAAACAGTACAATTTTAAGTGTTTTATAAAGTATTTTATGATAATATTCTAAATTAAGAAACTAAAATTAAAACCATTAATCTAAAAACCACACTTGTGGCTTGAAATAAAATATACATAATATATAAAGTTGAAGTCAGAAGTATTAGCCCCCTTTTGATTTTTTCTTTTTTTAAATATTTCACAAATTATGTTTAACAGAGCAATGAAATTTTCACAGTATTTTTTTAAAGACCATTTTAAGGTCAAAATTATTAGCCCCTTTAAGCTATATATTTTTCCGATAGTCTACAGCAGTTGTCCCCAACCACCGGGCCAGAACAATTGGTATCGGGCCACATAAGAAATCATAAATTATTTCTGTAAAAAATATTCCCCCGCGACTTGGTTTCTTCCACTCACCCCCGCCATCTCAAGTGAAATAGACCATGCCAAAATCCACCACGGAGTGGGAAGAACGATCGCTAGAATATCTTAGTGGTGGTTGTTGATAGTTAAAGTTATAAAACAGGTATTATAGAGTCCAAGTCAGCAGAGCATTTAAGGACTGTGCATATATGTGTGCATGCATCGCTAAGTAAGTACCCGAAATCATTGCAATATGTATCCAAATGGAGTTTCACATAATCATACTCATTAGGGCTGTAACATGCCAATGCATACATTTAATTCGGCTACACGGTTGTATTAATGTAAATATGTTCGTCAGTTGAAATGTTTGACACGGATGTTATGTATTTGATGCATATAAACCTTGATTGAAACAATCAGACCGCAATAGTGCAACTAGCGCATGCGCACTGAGTTGTTCATGATTAACCTGGATGCAAGAGCGCAGCAGTTGTGTTCACGTGAAGACACCCCCCCACTTCTTTTTTATTTCAGGATGTTGAAATGAAGTAACTATTTCTTATTTTACTACTGCTAATGTTTTAAAATATATAAAACTAAAATAATAACAGTTTTAATTTAAAAATGTATTAATTAATTAAATAATAAAAATAACAATAGCATCACGGGCGACGCAGTGGCGCAGTAGGTAGTGCTGTCGCCTCACAGCAAGAAGGTCGCTGGGCTGCTGATTCCAGCCTCGGCTCAGTTGGCGTTTCTGTGTGGAGTTTGCATGTTCTCCCTGCGTTCGCGTGGGTTTCCTTCGGGTGCTCCGGTTTCCCCCACAGTCTAAAGACATGCGGTACAAGTAAATTGGGTCGGCTAAATTGTCCGTAGTGTATGAGTGTGTGTGTGTGGATGTTTCCCAGAGATGGGTTGCTGCTGGAAGGGCATTCGTTGCGTACAAACGTGCTGGATAAGTTGGCGGTTCATTCCACTGTGGCGACCCCGGATTAATAAAGGGACTAAGCCGACAAGAAAATGAATGAATGACAATAGCATCACAGCGACACAACAAGAACACTGACTTAAACCAAAATGTTTACTTCCACTTAACAAAAATACTACCTGTTGCTTAAAATGCAATTAAAGGGCCAGTTCACCCTCAAAAAGGAAAATTTCCCCACCATTCAAGGTGTTGTAAACTGTTGAACAAAACAACAAATTCTGAAGAAAGTAAAAAAAATTTACAAATTGCCACTGACATCTATTGTGTAAAAATCTAAAATATTTTGGAAATCAATAACTTTTGATTTTTTAAGCATTCTTCAGTATATTTTCCTTTGTGTTTAACAGAAGAAACTCATGTTTGAAACATTTATGAGTAAATAATGACAGAATTGTCCCCTTAAATGTTTCTGTATTTAGCTCAGGAGCCAGTAAACCTCATCAGTACCTGCAGGAAGTGTATGTCGTGCTTGTTCTTGCTGATCTTCTGGACTCTGCTCTGTGTTTTCTTGAGTTCAGCGCAGCGCTGCTCCAGATGCACCCGTATGCCATCGGCCTGCCGCAGCGCCTGCCGCTCCTCCGCCTCCAGCAGCTCACACACATCCCGCTTCACCTGCTCCACTGCGGCCTGCAGGATACTGAACTGCTCCTCCATCACAGCCCGCACCTCCTGCACTGAGCCCTAAACACACACAGACAGAGATTCAGACACACACACACACACTTCATCTATCATGGATCAGCTGTGATCGCCGTTATCGCACTCATCAGTGAACAGCGCCAGAGGATTACAGCCAATCACAGCCCTTTCTGTTGAGCGCGTGACCAATCATAGGGGTGTACGATCTCACTCGACAAGGCTAAAACACAGAAACTCAATTTAATTTAAGCACAGTTTACTGTGTGTGGGTTTGCTGGATAGTCTTTCACCAGCACGCGCAGTGTTGCCAGATGTAGCGGACCGATTCCAGCCCAAAAATGTGTGATTTGGTTCTGTGGAGGTAAAAAGTAAAGACTGGGGGTAGGGGGAGTCTGGGGCAGGGGGGCGCGCTTATGCAAAACCACCCAAATATTCACTACCTGCCTACGTCATCTTTTACCTGCACAATCGAATTCAAAACCGCCCAATCTGGCAACACACATGTCAGCAGAACAAGTTTTCTCCTCCGCGCTTATCATGGATCAGCTGCTATCGCACTCAACAGTGAACAGTGCCAGAGCACTACAGCCAATCACAGCCCTTTCTGTTGAGCACGTGACCAATCATATGGGTGTACGATCTCACTCGACAAGGCTAAAAGCCTTTATTTACATTTATTTGCTTTAAATGCTCATGTCGTTCTGTGCATGTGCTTGAGTTTTTAAAGGTAGTTTATATATCTGGCTGCTTGTATTAAAGGTCAAAACTGCATTACAAAAAATTTATGAATATATTAATACATTTTAATAAGAAAAACCTTGTGCGGTAAAGTAAAATATCAAATTGTTTATGGAAAGCATCATCAATGCACCGTGATGTACAAGTCTGCATTCCCGCAGGTGTGGATCTTTATTTTTTTCAGTTTCATTCAGTTTCTAATGACACTATTACGTCTTTTTCAAGAAAACAGCTATTTTAGAGCTTCAAATGTTTAACAACCTTACAGTTTTACATGTCTTAACAATAAAAAAAAAATAATAATAAAAAAAATTAAATTTAGGTGAGGTTCTAACACGGGTCTAAGGGTATGGTAACCCAACGTGCTGACCACTGGACCACAATGGCCCTATAAAACTGGTGTGGCCGGAATGATACTTATGATTACCCTGCATGATACATGTTGCTCATGGGGCTGCGAGACAATAAATAAGAAGAGCGGAGCTGCGGCAAAATAATGGATAAATAGAGTGAGGATATGGTCAAATAAATTAATAAATTAATAAAAAAGTGCGACTGCTGCTTTCTCCGTTCGCCATGCTGGAGAGGAACAGTCTGCACAAAAGAAGCGCAGAGTTGGTTTCATTGAATACGGCTCTCATCGGATTGGCTGAAAGGTACGAGTGGCCCTGACTCTGGCAGGAAAGTCTCAAAAATACACACACGCGTATCCAGGGGGAGTCGTACGTGAAAGAGGATTTGCACATTCTCATTCAGGATGAACTCGCAAGTTTTAAACATTCAAAACTTTTTGTACACTCGTATACATTTGCAAATGGTGTTTTGCATTTGTGAAACGTATTTTATGAAAATGTATTTTTATTTTGTGCACGTGAAATTTTTTTGTGAATATAAATAAATATTTTACGCACGTGAATTAGATTTTATGCACGTGAATTTGGCTACGCATATGTACATCGTGTGTTTTGCGTAAATTTCTTTTGAGACTAATCTGGTTCCATAAAGCGGGATCGGGCGCGGCGGGTAGAAAACGAGGTGGGTCGGGCAGCGGGACAACAAATGCTTAATATAAGCGGGAGCGGTCGGTTTCGGGCTAAAACCTGGCGGGTGCGGGCGGAAGCGGGATTCAAAATTTAGTCCCGCGCAGATCTCTACCGTGATGCACCAAGATATCGAATTTAACCAAATCAATGCCATGATAATCATAACTGAACTGAACCATGAGACCAGTGTAGGTAGCATGGTAAAACATGGTAATATTTGTATTCCTATTCATTCATTAATGAGAAGTTGCTACTTCAACATGGCTTCAGTTTTTAAAGTTATTAAGCTTCAATTTTTTCATAAAAATAACAATTCTTTAGCTCCGACCTAGACATACTGTAGAATCAGTATACAGATTTTGAATGCACCATGAAGGATAAGAAACTGACCAGGGAAGCATTTCCACTATGCTCCAGTTAAACTAGTGACGCACTGGTAAAACAACTCTGAAATACTGTATATTTAAAATGACGACTGTACAGCGGATTATTTGGTAGGTAAATGATTTAGATTTTCTAACAAATTTCCTCAAATCAAGCCGTCTGTGTAAATGTACAGACGAAGTCTCATTTATTTTGAATATTCAGTTTTACCAGTAAATATGGCATGTTTTGTGCAGTATGTGATGTTTTACCTCTATAGACACAGTGTTGACCTGCAGCTTGTTAATGGCGTTTTCTGCGGCCGTCATCGTCTTCAGCATTTCTGTCTGCTTGTCCTGAAGCTCTTTCTGTAGACACACAAACACACACACACACACACACACACACACACACACACACACACACACACACACACACACACACACACACACACACACACACACACACACACACACACACACACACACACACACACACACACACACACACACACACACACACACACACACACCCTGTTATTTAAAAAACATTAAAACTAACCACCTGTACATTACTTTTAATTATAATTAAAATGATTATTATTAGGCAGTGGCGCAGTGGGTAGCACGTTCGCCTCACAGCAAGAAGGTCGCAGGTTCGATCCTCGGCTCAGTTGGCGTTTCTGTGTGGAGTTTGCATGTTCTCCCTGCGTTCGCGTGGGTTTCCTCCGGGTGCTCCGGTTTCCCCCACAGTCCAAAGGTAAAGGTGAATTGGACAGGCTAAATTGTCCGTAGTGTATGAGTGTGTGTGTGAATGTGTGTGTGGATGTTTCCCAGAGATGGGTTGCGGCTGGAAGGGCATCCGCTTCGTAAAAAACTTGCTGGATAAGTTGGTGGTTCATTCCGCTGTGGCGACCCCGGATTAATAAAAGAACTAAGCCTACAGTAAATAATATTATTATTATATAAACTGTGAAAAATATCTGTTGATTAAAAGTGTCTGTAGATTGATCATTAGTGTGATGGATTTCCTTGTAATAAGGAAAAAAGGGCCGCAACGATAATTTACTTTCTGCACTCAAAAGCTGAAATTCGGACCAAACCGCGTGACATGCTCTCGAAATCAGCTGATATTTGGCAGCTTCATCAAGGGTTGCATTGCATGCTGAATGTGCTGTTATAGGCTGGAAAGCAAATGTTGTCAGGGCTTCCAGAAAATCACTTCGTTACTTTCGTCCTCGCTCTCCCCTACTATTGAGTAAGGTCAATATGGTCAATAATACCTGAGGAAATCCAACACACCGGCTTTATAATAGTTTGTTTTGCTCTCTCTCTCTCTCATATAGCTGCGTATAATAGCAGATCACAGTTCTCCCAGTTGGCAAAACACAGAGATTTGATCCAGTCCTCACACAGTGAAGCCTCATTAATAATGCTAGACGCCCTCCCTGCACCAGAAATGAGCAGTTAAAACCACTGACTTCCATAGTAGGAAAAACAAATACTATAGAAGTCAATTCCAGCTATGTTCAAGGATAAAAAAACAAAAACAGAATTTAATATCACGATCACTTTAACATAGCATATCTAACAAGTGTTTGAATTTTACACAAGTCTAAAACAATCAAATCAAGTAGCGGGAAGATATTGTGGATGTATGTTCAGTATACAGTCAATGACAAGTGAAGAAATCAAACACAACGGCCTTACAATTTAAATCAGCTGATATTTGGCAGCTCCATCATGCATTGCATTCTGAATGCGCTGTTATAGGCTGGAAAGCAAATGCTGTCAGGGCTTCCAGAAAATCACTTTGTTACTTTCGTCCTCGCTCTCCTCTCTTATTGAATTAGCTCAATATGGTCAATAATACCTGAGGAATTCTAACACACCGGCTTTATAATAGTTTATTTTGCTCTCTCTCTCATATATAGCTGCGTATAACAGCAGATCACAGTTCTCCCAGTTGGCAAAACACAGAGATTTGATCCAGTCCTCACACAGTGAATCCTCATTAATAATGATAGATGCCCTTTTTGCACCTGAAATGAGCAAGTGAAAGCATTGACTTCCATAGTAGGAAAAAAAGAAATGCTGTAGAAGTCAATTCCAGCTTTCTTCAAGGACAAGTAACCAATAACAGAATTAAAAATCACTATAACTTTAACATGGCTTATCTAACAAGTGTTTAAATTTTACACTCGACTCTAAAAAGATGTTGGGTATACGTGTTCAGTATACAGTCAATGATAAGTGTAGAAATCGAACACACCGGCTTTATAATCTAAATCAGCTGATATCTGGGAGCTCCATCATGGGTTGGATGCTGAATGTGCTATTACGGCCTGGAAAGCAAATGTTGTCAGGGCTTCCAGAAAATCACTTTGTTACTTTCGTCCTCACTCTCCTCTACTATTAAGTAAGGTCAATATGGTCAATAATAGGTGAGGAAATCTAACACACCGCCTTTATAATAGTTTGGTTTGCTCTCTCTCTCTCTCTCTCTCTCTCTCTCTCTCTCATATAGCTGCGTATAATAGCAGATCACAGTTCTCCCAGTTGGCAAAACACAGAGATTTGATCCAGTCAGCACACAGTGAAGCGTCATTACCAATGCTAGACGCCCTCCCTGCGCCAGAAATGAGCAGTTAAAACCACTGACTTCCATAGTAGGAAAAACAAATACTATAGAAGTCAATTCCAGCTATGTTCAAGGATAAGTAAACAATAACAGAATTTATTAATTTTATCACTTTAACATAGCTTATCTAACAAGTGTTTGAATTTTACACAAGTTTAAAACAATCAAATCAAGTAGCGGGAAGATATTGTGGATGTATGTTCAGTATACAGTCAATGACAAGTGAAGAAATCAAACACAGCGGCTGTATAATATAAATCAGCTGATATTTGGCAGCTCCATCAAGCGTTGCATTCTGAATGTGCTGTTATAGGCTGGAAAGCAAATGTTGTCAGGGCTTCCAGAAAATCACTTCGTTATACTTTCGTCCTCGCTCTCCTCTCTTATTGAATTAGCTCAATATGGTCAATAATACCTGAGGAATTCCAACACACCGGCTTTATAATAGTTTGTTTTGCTCTCTCTCTCGTATAGCTGCGTATAACAGCAGATCACAGTTCTCCCAGTTGGCAAAACACAGAGATTTGATCCCGTCCTCAATCAGTGAATCCTCATTAATAATGATAGATGCCCTTCTCGCACCAGAAATGAGCAAGTGAAACCACTGACTGCCATAGTAGGGAAAAAAAGAAATGCTGTAGAAGTCAATTCCAGCTTTCTTCAAGGACAAGTAACCAATAACAGAATTAAAAATCACTATAACTTTAACATGGCTTATCTAACAAGTGTTTAAATTTTACACTCGACTCTAAAAAGATGTTGGGTATACATGTTCAGTATACAGTCAATGATAAGTGTAGAAATCGAACACACCGGCTTTATAATCTAAATCAGCTGATATCTGGCAGCTCCATCATGGGTTGCATGCTGAATGAGCCGTTACAGCCTGGAAAGCAAATGTTGTCAGGGCTTACAGAAAATCCCTTTGTTACTTTCGTCCCATGTTACTTTTATCCTCACTCTCCCTTACTATTAAGTAAGGTCAATATGGCCAATAATAAGTGAAGAAATCTAACACACCGGCTTTATATCAGTTGCATATAATAGCAGATCACAGTTCTCCCAGATGGCAAAACAAAGAGATTTGATCCAGTCCGCACACAGTGAAACGTCCTTACTGACGATAGACGCCCTCCCTGCGCAAGAAATGAGCAGTTAAAACCACTGACTTCCATAGTAGGAAAAACAAATACTATAGAAGTCAATTCCAGCCTGGAAAGCAGATGTTGTCAGGGCTTCCCAAAAATCACTTTGCTACTTTCGTCCCTGCTCTCTCCTAAATAATGAGCATTTTTTTTTTACTTATTATTTATTTTTTATTTTTTTAATGGGTGTTCACCTTTTTTGGGATAAGACAGTGGAGACTTTACAGACAGGAAAGTGTGAGGAGCAGAGATAGGGGAAGGATTGGCAATGGACATCGAGCCGGGAATAGAACTCAGGTCGCCGTGAGCACCTTGGTGCTATGTGTTGACACACTAACCACTAGGCTATTGGCACCGACCATTTTTTATTTTTATTTTTAACCGTCCCTTTAAGATGATTCTTACACGCTTTTCATAATTTAAATTAAATCTTAAAAAAAGGTTTTGTTGAATCTGCCCCAGGCCTCAGAGTCTTTGTTCAGTGTTTTTCTCTGTATTCCTCCAACAGGTTCAGACAGAAACTTCCTCTCTAGGCTGACAATCTGAATGTGTTACGCTTCTCCTATGGCTTTGCTAAAGGGAACACCTTCAACAATACAGCTTTTCATGCATGCAAAGGCATTGTGCTTCCCTCCACCCTGAGCATCAGAGAAAAGTGCTGATCTTCATGTGTGAAAGCTGAACTTGCGAGTGTTTCTACACGTAAAAAATATCTGTTAATTAAACGTTTCCCTGTCTTGTGTGTTTTCTGTTTATTTACGGTGGTGAATTGTATTATGGGATGTTGATCTCTGCTCTGTCGAGTTTTGATGTTAAAAATTCAACTCTACAGTTTAACAAAGTGGCTTTCATTGACCCTTTAGTAGTTTGAAATAATATATAAGAAATAATATCTAGAGAATTAAGTCTGTAAAATGTACAATATGTACTGCCAGTTTATCACAAGGTGTTAGTAGCGTAATAAACAACACCAACCCAGACAATATAGCACTTTACACTATTAAAAATGTTAATAAAAAGTCCCTTTTTCAAACTTTTCAAGGTTTAAAGTTGAAAGAAAGATCAAGATCCCATAATGCAATTAAAAAGAAGAAGTAAACGGGGATAAATAAAAAAAAAGAATCACAAAACACGGAAAGCGGTTAATTTATGGATATTTTTAGTGCATGTGAACTCTGCCCTACACCGTCTCCAGTCAAACATGCTGAGATCTGCTCATCGGTCAACAGCACTGCTATGACAAGCTCCTCATATCAAAGGAAAAGGGCGTATTAACAGTGCAGTGTGTCCTGAAATATGAAACGTGCATGAACATCACTGAATGCTATTATGAACGGTTCAATTCATGCAATGAGTCATTTTTAAACAAACACTTGCATGTTCACAAAATGTCCACAAATACATTGCTTTCAGCAATGAAATGACATGCATGTAAATATTTAGTATGTAAATCTTTCATTGTACTTTTTAAAAAAAATATAATTAAGCCATGAAATCATTTTAAAAACATACAAGTTCACAAAATGTCTAAAAAATGCATTGTTTTAATATGAAAATAAGATTTTGTAAATAATTTAAGATCC